CTAGAGTGTAGAAATCAACTAAGATGTCATTTGTGTATACCGCTAGCTAGAGTGTAGAAATCAACCTCAAAAACTTCACCAGGCATTTTATGGGCCACCAACTGAAAAGATTGAGTATGAAGAAAATAAAGAATCACATAAAACTGTGCAAAAAATGCATAAACTTGCAAAATCTCTTTACAGAAGTAATATTAGAAGTTTATTTTGGCTACAGTATTTTCCACAAGGAACTCGAAATACAGAACTAAATATTTTTGGGCGATTGGTACACTTTTAATCCATGCACTAAAGCATCTATAGAATATATATGAATCACATCGATGTACATACAATGACTGAGGCATGACAAAATGGCACAAGGTTAGACAAATCTTGATAAACAACACTGATAGGATAAGAGACCCTCTGCATCTTACTCTGTATACATCATCTTGTGGGAAAAAAGGAAACTGTTATATTATTAAGTTTCCCTGTTTCCCACATTGTTGGTCCATTAATTTTCTCTCCCCCCCCCCCCCAAGAAAAAAAATGATATTTTTGAACTTTGCCAAAGTTAAAATAATGGTACAGCTGTAGTATAATATTGCACAATGTATTTCTATTCAAAAGTTGTTCCTTTCTCATGCCAACTACTAATAATAGGCATTTAAGAATAATTCAAGTCATGATTTTAACTGCATTTAGGCGGAGTCACATAGGTGGGGTAAGAGGACACTTTTTTTTTTTTTTTGGTCCCCAAAAAATCGCAACGAATCAGCTGACCGCTGAATAAGCGGGGGGAGGGGGGGGGGGGGGGGGGGGGGTTAAAAGGACATTTTTTTTTTTTTAATTTTGGTCTTGAAATTTGGAAATTTGACATTTTACTCCGTTGGGGGGGGGGAGGGTAGGGTCACCTGTTTTAGGTCAGCCATGGGAATAATTTTTTTTTCTTTTTCATAAGTAAAAAAAAAAAAAAAAAATCCAAAGGGGGGAGGTTCTATGTCCCTTTTGCAGCCAACCTCAAATTCTGTAGAACTTTGCAGGAATTATGAATATGTCATGTATGTCCTATCTGTGAAATGTAAACGTTAGCAGTGTCCTCATATTCAAATTATGCAAGGAAACCCGTTTACTTGCTAGACTTCACTGTCAGACACTATTGAGTGACTGACTGGCTTTTTTTCTTCTTTGGTAATAACATACATGAAAAGAGTTGTAAAGGGTGCATGAGCATTTGTCTACATAAATAACCCACTTCTTGTGATGGCCAAGATTAAACTGATTGAATCTTTGCGCAGCATAAAACGTATGACCATTCGGTACAATTGTCTGAAAATCAAGACTATTACTTTTGGGCTCTATAGCCCTAAAGTTGATTTGACAACTGATAGTCATTATTTTCCCACTTGAAGACATTTTCAAGCCCCACCTTTTTTTAGGGAAGTTCTAAATAAGTATTATCTTTCAAATGCAGTTGGAATTTAACTTTTTTCATTTTTTTGGCCTGCAAATGGGACATAGTACCTTTAAGGGGGTTAACGCACATAAAAATACCAAAGGGGGGAGTTTAACCCCCAAAAACCCCACTCCCCCCCCCCCCCCCCCTGTGAACGCGCCTGACAACAACAACAAATCACCAGCATTTCTACCTATTACATTCAGGAAAGTCTTCAAATTAAAAATGCTACAATTTGCCTTGCTACCTATTGAGGCCATTACATTTCTTTCATTTAACAGGATTTTTTAAGAAAAAAAATAATTAGAGACACTAAACCAAAATAATTAATTTATCTTTAAGAGTAGAATTTAGTTGGGATTTTCTTGGAAAGAATCATAAAGCTGTAAACATGCTTCCTAATAACATCAGGAGCCGCTTTTTAAAAATATTTCATTCACTTTAAACATCACCCGAATGGTCGGTAATTAATGTATATGGAAACCTATGCACATACTGGCATTATTCCTTTATAACACTGTAAAAAACATTTTACAAATATTTTTTGGGAAAAAAAAAACTGAAGTCACTCGCATGACATGCATTGAAGCTGATTTGGGTGTGATCAATGCAGTCTGATGTGCATAGAAGCCTATAGAAGAATGGGGCTCCTAAATAGGTTGCTTTGTAATGGTACACAGTATGAAGGTTAATGTCAATTCAGTTAAGATCCTGGCTATATATTTCATTGAAATATTACAATGAACACAAGAAGCCTTACATTACATGTCAATTGATCTTTACTGCCTTTGACAATCCCAGTCTAACAATCCCAGTCTGAGCCTGTGTATCCTATGGAAAAATATACTATATGAGTAATGTGGTAGTAGTTACAAGTTTCAAGTTGTGTATGTTTCACAAATTTCTACATCATGCACCTATGGAAAGAATGCCAAAGTTACCTTTAACGTCATTTGAAACATTTCAGAGTGTTTGTTTTCATTGCTTATCTAGATATTTCAACCACATCTGATGGGTAGTATGTACAACCCATATTAGAAAAGAAATGAAGGTGGGAATATAAGTTATGTCTGTTATTTGACCAACTTACAGTTCAAATTTTTGAAAAGGATGTTTTCACGAGTTGGAGTGGGTCATGATTATATTGATGCATGTAATAAAAGTGATGGTTACCATGACACAGCAGGGATCGATCCCCTTGTTTGATATCATACTAGTGCTGTTGTAGCAACATTGGCAAGATTCAACAAAGCGGATACAAACTGATAATCTATAAAATTGTGTACATGTAGGACATAATGGTCAGATCCAAGCAACAAACTGATCCCCCAGTCACACTAGATAGAGTGACACCAAATTAATCAAACTAATACATTACCCATAATGGATAAGGATCAGTGGACTTGGCTTGGAGTCAGTTTGCCAGTGTCACTCACATATCAATAGGTGACCTACCCATTTTATATGGATGAAAACAAGATTCATCAATTGCACCACATACAGTTAGAGTACCGTAGCAAAGGTTTAACAATGTTTGTAACCTTAATAATGGCATTGTTGCAAAGGGAATGTTACAATCTTCTGAATAATTCATTTTTACTATCTGCACGAACCCTGAGTGGGCGGCTGGGTGGGCGCCTGAGAGGGGCTCGGCTTGCCTGTGAAAGCAGCTGTCGGTAAAAGTACTGTGAACTAGACCCACACTGGGTGATATATTCTGTTATTTTGGGAAAGTTTAAGATCATTATTCGCAAATTTCAAGCAGATTAAATCTTAGACAAATCAATGCGGGATTCAAACCTGCAAATATTAATTACTTCGGAAATGGAAATGCACGTCATCATAAAGATTTTCAGTTTCAGGATTGATAACAGAAGCGGTTGAACTGCATAGAAAATTATCATCGTAATCATCATCCCCATTCATATGATGACATCTCAACAAACAACAACACATAATAATATATTTGGAATGAAATGCTTGGTACATTATACAAGTGGCATAATAAACAATTTAAAAGTTACCATCACAAATATTAGATATTTTGAAAAATTTGAAAAAAAACGTTAAAAAAAACGAAATAACGCCTTTTACGTCGTATTTCAGCCAATGCCGATGTTGGCTTTTTGTTGTTGGCATTTCCGTGTTGCTTATATTACTCACAATTAGCCGGCTCGTCTATTGTTATTTTTTTAATTAAATGATTAATTAACGGTCACCGTGTTTTTTTTAAAGTGGAGCTAAATTGGTATGATCGTGTTGGCTAAATTTCACACATTTTGGGGTCTAAAATTACTTTCATAGCAATTTTAGGTTCTAAAACGGCACTATAAATGTCATAGATAAGTATAAGAGCAATAACCATGTACTTTGAAGGCATTTGCTGTCTAAAACAGAACTCAACTATCCCTTTAAAGGAAATCTCACCCCAAGAATAAATGTTGAGTTATTCTGAGAGATTTATTACATTCTTGCCAATTAATCTACAAGATTCCCCACCAAAATGTATGAGAAAGGCTTAAAGCAAGAATAATGAATCAGCACATACTATGTTTACCTCCTCGGCTTTGATATTCCCTCATTACAAAGTAAAGTTTTTAATATTGAATTAAAAAGTATTTCCAAATAAATCTTGGTGCCTGGTACATGTACAACTAAGCATGGCACATCATATTTTCAAAAAAATGGCTGCGCCCATGTCATGCTAAAAGGCATTACATCATGCCAAGAATACCTTATTATTAGCAAATTGAGTTGTCCTGATTTTTGAGTGGTGGTGGAGCCTGGCTAAGTAAAGGGGTAGTAGAGCCAGGCTGAGTTGAGTTGAGGGGTGGTGGAACCAGGCTAAGTAGAGAGTGGTTGTGGAGCTAAACTGAGTAGAGTGATGGTGGAGCCAGGCTAAGTAGAGTGGTGGAGGAGCCAGTCTGAGTTGAATGGTAGTAGAGCCAGGCTGAGTTGAGTAGTGGTGGAGCCAGACTTAGTAGAGTGGTGGCGGAGCTAGACTGAGTAGAGTGGTGGTGGAGCTAGGCTGAGTAGAGTGGTGGTGGAGCTAGGCTGAGTAGAGTGGTGGCGAAGCTAGACTGAGTAGAGTGGTGGTGGAGCTAGGCTGAGTAGAGTGGTGGTGGAGCTAGGCTGAGTAGAGTGGTGGTGGAGCTAGGCTGAGTAGAGTGGTGGTGGAGCTAGGCTGAGTAGAGTGGTGGTGGAGCTAGGCTGAGTAGAGTGGTGGTGGAGCTAGGCTGAGTAGAGTGGTGGTGGAGCTAGGCTGAGTAGAGTGGTGGTGAAGCTAAGCTGAGTAGAGTGGTGGTAAAGCTAAGCTGAGTAGAGTGGTGGTGAAGCTAAGCTGAGTAGAGTGGTGGTGAAGCTAGGCTGAGTAGAGTGGTGGTGGAGCTAGGCTGAGTAGAGTGGTGGTGAAGCTAAGCTGAGTAGAGTGGTGGTGAAGCTAAGCTGAGTAGAGTGGCGGTGGAGCCAGATTAAATGGTATGGGAAATCCCCTTCCCGCCTGGGATGGAGGTGGACTTGTCCGTGTATTCTTGAGGAAGGTACAACATTCACAGCAAACATTCTCCATAGGGCTAGGCTGGCGCCATACATGAAGTTCTCTTCGTTTACGCTCTCTCACTGGGCTTGACTCCATAAATGGTGTGGGTGGCGCACTTATACTAAATTGAACAAACAAATCAGCAATCATAAGCTTGAGTCTGTTAATGATTTCGTCAGAGTTAAATGTGGGGAGTTGGGACAAGTGGATAACACAATAATACGGTAAGTGTACTAGTGTAGTGTATTTTATATTTAATGGGACTTCTCATTAGTATTACATTAATAGCTACCAGTATACTCTTTGCAATTCACAATTTACTCAGTATTTAATGCTTGCATTACTCCGTCTAATAAAAAATTCCAGGTAAAAATAAATATTGAATACCATAGTACCTGTAAAAGACAACAGCTGACTTCTGTATGTCCTTTAAAAGAATGTTATACTATACTGCTCTGTTTTCGCCTCCTGTAATACCTTTTAAATTCAGACCTACTATATTATGTTACTCAGTACAGAAGCCTATTCACATACAAGCTACATGTATGCATTTTATTTAGGCTCCCCACATTTTACATTGTATTACCTTACATGTCATATCCATATACCTCGCACATATTTTCCATACATGTACATTATGATTTATACTTGATTTGAAATATTTCACTTTTTGTGTGTAATCTACACTTATACGCTTGTATAAAAAACATTGTGAAAGAAACTTTATTGAAGTAAATGGGAAAGGTTGGTTATAAACATATAGTACAGGTAGATTTAGGTACATGTTTATAATATGAGGTTTTTTTAGTCATCAAAATGATGAGAAATTGAGTCAGTGTTGCTAAAAGTCACCTTGGCTGCACATTGAAATAGGTGTAAGTGACTATACACCAATGTGTCAAGAAGTTTGGTAATAAAACTTTTCATTTTTCATATCATATTTCAAACTAGAGGGCATTTTAAGAGCACTCCCTTTCTTGGGGGAAACTTTTATATACCATCCAGACTAACATGAACATAATGGGTAAAGCTCTAAAATATATATCTTTTTTTTCCCTTTCACTATTAAAAACTAGGCAATATTGAGGGATGATGACCCCAAGGCTAACAATGAAATTGCACCTCCAGTACAATTTTTTTAACATAACTTTACAAGCAAGGCACCAGAATAGTAGATTTTCTTTGGCATTTACAAACCCCCAAAACACAATTTAATGGATTTTAGACTCATTTGTATATAACAACCCAGGATGAGAGTACTCATTAAAAAAGATGTAGAGCATATTTACCTTCTTTGCCTAGTGGGTGTGGAAGGGCTTTTCTTGGGCTATTTGGGCTGAGAGACTCAACAGGAATATGCAAGAACTCTTCATTGGGAATGAACATCTTAACACAGCAAACACTACAGATCAATCTGAAACATAATTCACAATTGAAAAACGATTCTGAATTGAACCTTTAAAAACAGTTTAAACTTTTTCTATAATCTTATGAAAAAATAATTTGATGTTTAAAAATAGTAGCTAAATATTGATTAGAATTAATCAGGCATACATAAATTTGGGAACAGGTCAACAAACAAAATATATCTTATCAGCAGGACTACAGAACAATCCATGTTCTTGAAAACCTTTACTGGGTGTTTTTTGACGTCATTGATATATTATTTCTTCATACAGTAGGAATGCTTCGTTGAAATGCATGCCTCTTATATTGTCAATTTTTTAAGATATAAATTATACAAATTTGACCCTTATGACATTCTGCTTATAACCTTCACTGCTGCCTCCAAGAACCAAAAATCAAATTTCACAACATTTAGGTTAAGACCATAACAAAACATAACAAAACACTGTATCTATTTTGAATTGCTCCTGTTCACAATAATCTACATCATATGAACATCAATAATCACAATTATCTACATCATATGAACACCACTAATCACAATATTACACCTGTATCAGTATGGTTCCAAGCATTCTCAAATATGTCAATATTGCAGTTGGTAAAATTACATTTGAAATGATCTCATGTTTTTATATATATATATTTTGTTCTTTTTGTGTCATCCTCCAAACGGATAAATGCTGTATACGTGCAAGTATTGATTTCAACTAAATTCTATTAAAGGTAATGCAAAGTTTAGGTAATTTTGAAAATTGTATGGACAGTAATTCTTATAAATTAGGATATATTTGGATGCCCCTGTGGATGTTTATAAGCACTAGAAAATTTAGCCCCTAAAACAGTTCTGCTTTCGAGAAAATTGAATAATCAAAATTTACTGGTGCTCCCAGTAAATTTCAAATATTTCAAATAGCGCCTATTAAAGGCCATAGGGCATAATTTCCAAACGGGAATAGCAAATCGGTCGATTGTAGTCAAGAAATATCGTTTAAAAGCAAAAGTAATATTAGTCTTGAGAGGGCGCTATACAACATAAATAGTTTATCATTCACAATTTCATCACTTTAGGCTCGATTTCAACCGCTACAACGATCATTGAGTATTGTAAAATTGCATATGGCTCCAAAATGTTAATTTGAACCAAATTCATGACCCCATACCCAAACTTTGTAATACCTTTAAACTTGAGGGTGTAAAGTAAATTAAACAAAATAAAATCTTACTTTTTACATAGTCTGCATTTGAACCTCTTCTTAAAGAGAGAGAACTTCTTCTTACATGAAAAGCACACCTGCAAAACAAAATCAATACATAAGAATAATACATAAATATTACAATTGTTATAAAATCAAAATAACAAGATTTTAAAAAAAGATCAATTCTGTCTAAATATCCCCTAGACAATCATCCCCTCAGAAAACCAATCTTGTTATAAACAGCAATAATATTTGCCCTTATCAATTATGAATAATTTTGGTACAATTTTGAAGCCTACTAGAGTTTTTTAAAAATGTTATTGATGTGATGAAATACCTTGTCCTGTAGCACGTCTTTATGAAGTCTAGCATTGACTCTGAGGTTCTCAATCTCTGCTTTCACTAAGACACTTCTGATATGAATAACCTCCTTCACTGTCAATGATAAGCAATCCATACTCGCACACTGTTTCCCGGTAGACTACAATAGAAGAGGATAATACTTGTGATCACAAACATATTAAGAAACTGCATCAAGATCTCACACACACACCCAGTTTAAAACAAAAACGGGTCATCTGGGGTCTTTTGACAGTAGGTGTTACACACAACAAATGCATGCTCTAGAGTTCAATATGGCAAACAGTATGGACTGAAGATAGTAATAATTATATCACATAAAGTACAAATAAGGATACAAATATCAATTATGATTATGAATCATGCAGAAGGGGAGGGGTATTTTGAAATATACCCTAAATGGGTTGTTGGGACACAAAGACATACACATTAACTTTGGAGCCTTTCCTGAAATAACCCATTTCACCTATGAGATTTGACCCCTCAAAGTTACTTAGATTATTCACGTCAGCAACCAGGGTAATGCAAGAGAAAGTTAGCTGCATTGAATATATATTCTAGAATAACATCAATTTATGAAAATAAAGCACATGTATTTAGGTAAGTGTCTGAATATCATCTTATTCTGGTGGTAAGGTTTCTGAATGTATCTTATCTAATGTATATTTTATGTATACAGCAAAGTATTATTTATTTTTCCTCACTCACAATATTCCGAAGCAGGATGATTCTAGGCAAAGAAATGCCTCATACATGTATTTGCATATTGAGGTGCCTCAATAATAATTTTTGTATTGCACCCTCCCCAAAGTGAAAAAAGATGCCTCTCCTTGCAATCTTTAAAAAACTGACAAAGCTATGCCCCAAATAAAACATTCTTCACAAGCAAATACGTAGTTGACATTAATTTATGGAACTAACTTTATCATATCGCTGGTAATCAGTGGCAATGTTCTTTTTTGCATTTGAGATCGGTAAAATCTTTCTTTCTTGAGTGTGTGTATAGTCCTGAAAAGGACTGTCGGTAATCTTTCTTGCTTGAGTGTGTGTGTAGTTCTGATCAAGATTCAACACACACTTTTACTAATGTTCACCTTTAAAGGTGCTTAAACTGGAAGATTCTAGATGTCTAGCATGTTCTTACCTTGAATGACTGACAGGGACCAATGCTGTGCCTCCTGGGAGTGTCACATGGAATCTCATCTGATCTTATTTCATCATAACTGGACATCGATGATCTGCTCATTGTTAGTGTTTTTTCCGGAGTGGAGGCCATGGTATCTTCAATATATAAAGAGTCAAACAATTATTTATTTTTGATAACTCATGTAAATTCAAATGAAGAATGTAAAATATTTAAATATCCTCCTATGAAACAGAACTAAATCATGTAAACTAAATTACAACATATGGAAACGACTTTAATGATAATATCACAAAAATGACTGAATACATTTACTATTACCCGTAGTCTTATCTAACCATTCTCCTTCAAATGATATTCTACATGATTATGCATAATAAGTGTGGTTCTGCCAATCAATTTTGTTAACCTGAGAAGAAGTTGTTTTGATATCAATGATAGAAAGTTGCAAGCCACAAACAACATGGATACAATCAAAGAAAACCTACCCCATGAGCAATGAATGCTTCATTCAAAATGTTAAAATCAATTAATAGTGGTTACAAAAAAATAGAAAATCTAACAGTGCATTTGTCAAGGCACATGCTTTAAAAGGCAGTGCAGGGATTTGCAGGGTGAAAATATCAAAACTTGTGAAAGGGCAATAATGTTGTTAAAAAATTATTGAAAACTTTTCTAAAAGTATGGTGGGAATATATTAATTATTAGCAAAATTAGAGTGATTTTTCTTTTCAAATTTGAATTTTGCAACTAATCATTGTTTATTCACCCTCTTTGTTTTATAGAAAAGAGCTTCAATTGTCATTCAGAGAGAAAAGCACAAAGTATTTGATCTGAATTTTGCACACTATCATTTTATAAACTCATGTTGCTGATATAAATACATTTTAAGATAAGTTTTGAGAGCTTGCAAATCCCAGATAATAGCAGTCAATCATTTTCAATTATTACAGCCTGTACTGCATGTTGTGTGCATGCTGCACATGGAACCGTTCTGGTACATTGCAGGAATTTGATTCAAATAAGCAGGATAATAATATTCAAATTGTTGTCATAGGTAGGGCAACTACATGTAACCTTCATAAAACACTCACAAAATTGTTCAAAATGAGCAAGAATAACACCAATTCTTTGTATTCTTGCATACATGTGCAATATTGAAGTTGCACGTCTCATGCATTATATTAGTATTCCCAGTCTTGGACTTTCCAGGATCATTATTTCAATCTATTCGCTTTGAAACATCTTCACCCAGTACATACAGTGTGTGGACATAAGAGAATGACTGCTTTCTTTGGAAACAATGAAATATCCTGATTGTATCCTAATTTTATTGTTTTTTTCTCAAATTCAGAATGGAAAAAGGACTATTCATTTTGATTGGGAACCCTGTGTTTAAAATAGAAATGGCAAATATTCAACTGTTTACTAAACAGTTTGGAGTGAGTTATGCAAACACTATTTGTTCACACTCAATATAGACATTGTCCAGGATTCAATCTGCAGGTCTTTTGAGATGATTTGAACATTTCTAAACTTTGCATGTTGCAAATTAATCCAGTTTTATATATTGACATGTACATACCATGTGGCAATCTGACATCTAAAAGAATGCTCTCATCTAGATGTTCGTCAAGGATCTTCTGTATTGCTTGTTCCAGAATGTCTCCTCCATCACCATCTTCCTCATCAATATCTTTAGTTGCTTGGCAACCATTTATCTCTCTTCTTAATCTTCTTGGTAGTGAGTAGGAGTCAGACTTGTGCCTGCTAGTATCACTCTCTGATTCCTTCATTCAAACAATATATAGAAACAAAATAAACAATGAGAAAAAAACACATAACATATTTGATGTCCAGATATGCATAAAGAAAATTGAAGGGAAAGAAACTGATAGTTTTCAATATAAAGCTTTCTTATAATGATTGGTACTACCGGTGGATTTTTCTGATACACAACGGGTTTCAAGTCATTCATTTTAATTCAGAAAGATTTTTTCTTCCTATCCTCACATCTTTGTGTCTCTTTTTCTTCTTCTAATAACAAACAGAATAGAGAGAATCTTGCTATACTTTGCTTAAATGTGAACGGTGTTGTGCAGGTTGCTGTTGGCGTCTGAATGATTTTCTACCTCTCATTTGTTTAATATATCACTTGAGGAGGATTAAACTCTACAGTAGCTAAGTATTGCTAGTATCTTTATATCTACTATCTAAAAACACAATAAATCTGAACAGAAAAGTCTTAGAGGGCTTACCAAAACTATACATTAACTTGTGCTTATTCATTTAATGTTCATTAGCTGTAAAGCTTATTTATTGATATGATCACTCTGGACCTTCGCCTGCATGTATGACAGTATAGGGCTGTATCCAAGCACAACTTGCATGACAAACATTACTTCTAACTTTAGCTTTGCCGTGATACTTGAATATTTTAAAACATTGAAGGCAGGCCTTAAATTAATCGACGGCCATCGACGGCCAGGCCGTCGATGCCCCTAGACTGGCCGCGGTGCCCTCCCAAAAAAAGATATATTCACGGCCAAAAAGGCCGTGCCCTTTTTTTCAAACTGGCCGACGTGCCTTTTTTTCCAACTGGACGTGCCCTTTTTATTTTAAATGTGCGCACATAAAACCACCAATTGCGCTCATAATCATCTAAAACTAGACGGCAAGGCGCAAGTGTTTTCCGTGAAAATGCGCCCATAAATTATTAGAACAGTAAAAATACACGAATCACGAACAGTTTGCCGCCCACGAGCTCTCTTCTAGCTTCGTATTTAGTGCTTTAATAAGAGGCAAGTGCCGTGAAAATGCGCCCTTTGTTATTATATAGGCAATGCGCTAGCGCACGTACGTACGTACGTACGTTCATATTATGCGATCGCATGATATGCATATGGTGCATGCTGTTGACGCACGCACGTACGTACAAATCGAAGGCCAGGATCAAGAAAACAAATCGTCAAATGGAGAAATAAACAAGCATTCAAATAGTCATTAGAGATCTGTCGAGGTTTGTTTGTAGGCCTATATAGTTTATTATCTTATCTCAAATAGAATTTAGAATTATCTTATTAATAAGTTAAGAACACCTACGATGTTCTCGATCGCAGTTGCTCTCATTTTGCCACCAGCCGACCTCGCTTCAAAAAGCTACCCCGCCAGCTTCCCAAGACGAACGTTTCGAGTCCCGTAAAATTCCGAGGGTGCATCGGTTTCGCTGGCAAACTTCCAGCCCGACAGCTTCCCACCAAAAGTGGCGAGAGTGTGTGTGCGAGGAACGATTTTGGTTTCGTGAATGCACGTTACGCAACTGAGCTGAGCGTGTCACTTTCAGCTGTCGAATGTCTATAAGGACATTTTTACATCTTATTTCATTAGTTAGGCCTATGTAGACCTTTCTATAGTCTACAACAGTTAAAAAGATAATTTCTTCAAATTTGCTCCTACTACCGAGAGAGTGGCGGAAGGTTTGTGTGTGAGGTGCGATTTTGATTTGGAATACCCGGCCCGGTAAACTTGCCAATTAAGTCCTGATGACTTTCGATGTTTGTGAAATTGACAATTTATTTATTCATTTGCTCATCAATATTTTTAGTTACTTTAAAATACTGTTTAATGTGCAAGTTTGATGTTCTTAATCAATCTTTCCTGTTCATATTGTTAAGATTAAAAAGTTATTAAATTGATCGTTCGATCTATTCACATTATGAAATTAACATTTGTAGACTCTCTTTGAACTTATGATTAGATAAGCGGCCTATCTGTTTTTGGAAAAATTGCCCCTTGCTCTGGTAAATTCCCGTGGCAAAGGGCAACTTAAAAAAAAAATTGCCCCTTGCTCCTGGCTGCTAAATCTAAGGCTTGCGGGCCGCCGCCTTGTTTGCAGGCGCGTAGCCAGAGTTTGGTGTTTGGGGGGGCACATACATGTAATCGATCGAGGTCAAAAAAAGGGGTCTACAAAATTTCAACCGATCCTGAAAATTTTAGGTGAACCCCCCCCCCCCCCCGTGGCTACGCGCCTGCTTGTTTGTATGTACCGTAGACCTCTATACATTCTGTGAAGAAGCTGGTGCTAAAAGTCATGGGAAATTGATCCTGCACAAGTTTCATAAAATACACATGACATCTAACAAAAATAGAATCAATTTTTTTGGCCTCATACTCGATGCCCTTTTTGTAAAATATTTTGCCTCGATGCCCTTTTTGTAAAAATATTTTGGCCTTGGTGCCCTTAAAAATATGAGGTACTCGAGGCCAAACTGGCCTTGCCCTAAAAATGACGAAATTTAAGGCCTGTGAAGGGCACAACAATATTGTTCCGAGTGTTTTAATTTCTTTTCCTTCATAATCATATCTCGGGTGAGTCATAATTTGGTAAGTATTTTGACAACTTATGATACATTGCTATTTTTATAGTCTGATCAACATTATGGTATTGTGTGTGGTAGAAAGCCTCTCATAACTTAACTCCGTCGTCTAACTTAAGTTTCTGCACACTACGCCATCACGAATGTTTCCCTTGTATTCCTTAATTTATAAACAAAAAAACTTGTAGTACCGGTAGTCATTCTAAAAATTTGATTTTTTTTTTTTGTTGAAAAATTATGTATCCCGGATGCGCCATTTTTCATTAATTTGAAAGAATTTACTGTCTTTTACATCAAATTATTACTTCCATATTTTTATCCTATTTCACGTCGTTGCATGCACTAAATTTTTGGCTGTGGGACAAATTTCTGTACAGGTACCCATTCCCCGCCTCAAATTTTCACGTCAAACTTTGGTTTTGAAAAACCTGTAATGACTCAAGCCTAAAACACACAAACAAAACACAGAAGTTGTTGATAAGGTGAGTGGCTAAAGTGTGTAGCAAGTTGTAAATATGTCAATATGGTGCCTGACTTACATACCGGTGTAGAGTTTTTCAAATATTTGATTAATAAAATAGAAATGTTTAAAGGCGATAACTTACCTCCTCAGACCAATCCAATGAAAAACGGCCTTTAAGACCTTCTTAGCTAGCGGAGGTGATGACTCTTCTCCAGATTCATCAGAGGAAATTAAGCTCTGACTTCTTGGTTCTGTACAAGGAATCAAAAATAAGGGAGAACCATGGATACTCGATCGTGACATTCTAGTATATCCATGGTTACAGTTCTATTTTGTCAAGGACCATGACAAAACAGAACTATTAATATAGCTCAAGAATCTTATTTCTGTTACTCACACCAAAATAATTTCAATTGCAATTTATTTAGGAGGAGTTATATTCTCACCTGCATTTTCTTTGACTGAAGTTGGTTTCAGTTGAGGTTGTGAGCGGATCTCTGTCATTATCTTCTCATGAGCACTCTCCCTTCTCAGTGGTTTCTGATTTAATTTATCCTCAGGAACCTGTGCATAACACATATTTTGTTAATGTTTAATATAAATGAATGCAATGTATTATAATCAGTTAGACACAGGTCAAGATATTTGTGTCTATGGTCATGCTTTCTTTAATTATGTAGAATATACAGATCTGAGACAGCCTTGGGCAATTCCATGATTTGTTACGTTATATTTGTATGTACCTCGTATAGCATATTAGGCTCCAACATGAAGATGCATTGATACTGTATTACATTTATGGTAGACTGTATAAACACAGGGCTACATGTATATGAAACTACAAATTAAACTCATCAAACCTATTCCTGTGAGTGAAAACCAAAACTGTATATATAGTTTTGGTTAATTACCTTACTTGAAAAGGACATTAAAAAACAAGATGAATGCGACTGCATCTCCAATATGCCTCCGCCTATATTCAGTTAATACATTATGCACCCTATTTCTACTTCATTTTGTACATTTTCCAAAACTGGTATTTTCACAATCACTTATCATATGATTTGTCTCTAAATTTGGATCACTTAACCTCCATCTGTTCACAACTCAAATGGTCCTTGAGAAATCGCAATAACAAAGCTAAAATCTGATATTTCATAAGTTAACTTCTGTGACCGTTGACCGTTGACCTTTGACCTAGTTACTCAAAAACATAATCTAATATTATGACCAAGTTTAAAATTTACACCTCAAAGGGTTCTTGAGATATCACATTAACAAGAATGCAGGATGGATGGACAGACGGAGGAACGGGCAACCCGAAAACATAATGCCTTATTTGCATTGAAAATCTCACTGACTTGTGAATGCTCAAGGCGAATACTTCAATTTTTGAATAATTTTTTTACAAATATTTTACAAATTGCTTAATATCGCAGCTAATCACTCCGTGAAATACCTTTTGTTAGTCTGGTTGGAAATAGGGATCGCATTCACCATGGAGATACATTGGATTTGGATAATATGTTAGGGATTGTGGGTGAGCTGAGCTGGACCTGGTAAATACTTACAGGTTTGAGAGGTGGTCTGGAGCGGATAAAGTCTAGGATTATATCATGAGCTTCTTTCTTCACACTTGCTGGGATTATACCATTAACCTGTGATCATAGGGAGGGAAAAGACAAGTGAAGAAGAAAACTACACTTGAGCAACAAAACAAATTGATATGGGGGGGGGGGGCATTCTTTTTTAATTTTAGAAGTTTGGTTGTTTCTGCAACTATGCATCAATTTTCTCTGTCATCAATTTGATATACACTTTTCCTGGTTTGATTTCAACACTCTTTTCAAACAATTCTATGATTCTGATTTTCTGGGCTGATCCATTATAATGAAAAAGTCGTAAAGAGACAAGGTACATGTTTCGTTGTTTGATATTAAATAAAGTTTACATTGCAATGCAAAGATGGTTAAAGATACCTCCCATGTTGATATATCGTGTTATGCAATCATATTGTGAAAGAAGCTGTCTGAAAGCATCTATAAAAGGTTGATATGTTGTACTCAAAAATTGGTGTGTATTATGAGGTTTAGGAATCATCAAAATAAGAATAACAAATTCAGTGACATTAAGAGATATGATATACGGTTCATTGTAAAATATCAGAGGTAAAGTGTCAGAGGAAACGGGTAACAAACGGCGTATAACGATGTGATCTAATAGCATCCATCAGACCTGCATGTAACATACCATGACTTTGTTTAGAGTATAACGATGCGATCTAATATCGTCCATCAGCATTTCATAGGGTGTGAGTGCAAATTCAATGGGTGCTCTGCTTTTCTCATGATCAGCCAGCTTCTTCAGTTTCACACCATTTCTTAGATCTCGCACCACATTCAGCCAGATCTTAGCCTGCAAAGCAAAAATATCAAAATAAATATCATTTACAGGTGTATTCTCCCCTCTGTGCTCTCTGATTGTGTTAATGAGATTAAATTATTGCTCATTCTTGTTTCTGATATTGAGCCCATTTTGTTCTTTTAACAGATGGAAAATTAAGTGTGAAAATGCCAAATTTCCTTAACCCTAAAAAGGCAGAGGAGGGGATCCACCCCCCCCCCCCCCCTCCTCCTCCTGTAGTATTTCTGCATTATCCTTGCAGAATTTTTTTTACCAATAATTTTTTTTCGTGGCTTCACGGCCGAGGTCAGGCATGGCCTAAATAACCTTGCCTTTACAGGATCAATTTAAGATTCAACATTGAAAATATCCAAATGTATTATTAAAGGCCATCTACACATGACCTGTGGGTCTGACAGATGATATGCATAATGAACTCACCCATTGTCTTGGTTGTAAATCTTCCACATTGCCATCACAACTATCATTACTGTCTGATAAACTTCTTAATACCTGTAAAAACAAAAAGAAACATTATCTGTAAAATGTTACCAACTTCCAAACATACATTCAAAATTACATCCATTTTCAGCAGTACTCCTTCACTACCACAGGCAAATCAACAAATAACCAATGAGAAAACAAATAATTCAGGGTCCACGCTTACCCTTAATTTTAATTGCCACACAGGCAATCAGGATGATTGCTTTGTAGGTTGCAAAATCTAAGTTCTTATGGTCAGTGAAGAGGAGGTTCCCAATCATGCTTGCTGCCCAGCCCCCTGCTGGCTGGCCAGTCGAGAGCATCCTGATGGAATTACCTCAATGCTTGTATGCATATATGATGGGACCCTCATCTTGGTGTGGGAGGTCATGAGGTCAAACCTCAAAGCTCATTAATTTCAGACTGCTGCTTATTAAAGGTACTATGTCCCATTTGCAGGCCCAAAAAATGAAAAGGTTAAATTCCAATGGCATTTGAGAGATAATACTAATTTTGAACTTCCCTAAAAAGGTGGTGCTTGAAAATTTCTTCAAGTGGGAAAATAACGACTATTAGTTGTCAAATTGACTTAGGAGCTTTAGAGCCAATAAGTAATAGTCTTGATTTTCAGACCATTGAACTGAATTGTCGTACGTTTTATGCTGCGCAAAGATTCAATCAGTTTAATTTTGGCCATCACAAGAAGTGGGTTATTGATGTAGACAAATGCTCATGTACCCTTTACAGCTCATTTTATGTTTGTTAAGTATTACCAAAGAAGAAAAAAAGCCAGTGAGTCACTCAATAGTGTCTGACAGTGAAGCATAGCAAGTAAACAGGTTTCCTTGCATAATTTGAATATTAGGACACTGCTAAGGTTTAAATTTCACAGATAGGACATACATGACATATTCATAGTTCCTGCAAAGTTCTACAGAATTTGAGGTTGGCTGCAAAAGGGACATAGTACCTTTAAAGGTAAAGACCAGTATTGGAAACGCCCCAATTTCAAAAAATGAAATGGAAGCTCTTATTACCAATCAAGTGAAAGAATATGTTTTGACTAATACGTGATGATAACAATTTTGCCGGGAAAACGCCTGCTAATTGATATATTTGGTAAATTAGTTTATCTACATGGTCTGTGAGAGATAAACGCATGTGTCGCGCATGTGTCGCGCACGTGTGCGCATAGTCCCATATTCATCTTTCTGTGTACAGTGCTTGTAACTTTATGAAGACTGGGCCATATTTCTTATCATTTTGATGATTCCAGAACCTTGCAGTACACACCAATACTTATATGCTGGATGATCAACCTTTTCTGATCGATTCCACAACGTTTCTTTCACAATGCAATCGCATGACCATAACTGGTCTTTACCTTTAAAGTGATCTGGTTAGGGTTTTTTTTCGGGGGGGGGGGGGGGGGGTAGGTGAATGTGTGCATTTTTTAACTGATAATTTTTGGCATAAGGATGGGGGCGCAATAAGTAATAACCCATAGATACGCCACCTTGAATGCTGCAGATTTGGAATGTCAATGGGATTGATCTTAGGCCTATCTTCACACAACTCTCCTTGCTCTACAAACAATGAATACAAAATATTGGTGCATGGGGGGGGGGGGGGAATCTTTTCAATTTGCTGTTCAACCATCATGTGTTGTGATGTGCCGAAATGGCGGGTACTGGGATGTATCTGTCTCTGTCCAGAGTGTCCAGTTTCCTATCCTATATTTGAAAGCTTTCCCCGTTACACCATTCCATTTGGCTAAGTGCATGACAGGCAGTACCAGTCTTGCCCAATTAACTTGCCCAACCCCCCCCCCCCCCCCCCCCCTGCTTCATATGAATAGATACCTCTTTACTGCCTGTGATTTTATTGAGGAATGTAGCCAGGTCTAGATATTCAGTATACACTGCTCTGCAAACAGCTTGGTAGTGCGTAGATGCTGCTTTGGGTTGTGGAAGGTGGTCAGAACACAGCTGAAAGCAAATAAAGAAAGAATATTTCTTTAAAAATGAAAACTTGTACCTTTTAGGGGAGGCGGTTCCAAACAAAGCAGATTTTACATGAATTGTTATAAACTTTTTTTTTAACTTTTCAAATGTGGTCCGGTAACAGGTTGAGATCAGCACATTTTCAAACCAATCTGGTTCTTGAACTCATTTGTACCTATTAAATGTGGGAGGTAGCCTATTGTGTCCAGGGCAATCATGAGGGTATTATTTCATTGCACATTATGCATTCATTGCACATTATGCATTCATTGCATATTATGCATGTATCAAAATATAATTTATCATGATGGTGTTAATAAGTTAAGATGCTATGTATTTTATACATAAACAGAGAATATTGTTATGCAACAGGTTAGTGGTTGATGTTGTAGTATTTTCTCCTCTCTTCTCTTTATCACTGATTATCAATCTGTAGAAGTGGTTGTACTAATGGGCCAGTTGTTTCCTCCCTCCCCCCCCCCCCCCCCCCTCATTTGCAAATGCGTATCTTCCTCTACAAACATGGGCACTCACATGGTCAGTTTTTCAGCTTGAACATTCATGGAGTGTCTGGTGCCATTTCAAAAAGGAGCCTGACCATATGATTCACATTGTTGAACTTTCATATTTGATTGTATGCTGCTTTAAATCATTTCAAACAAAGATAATCAGTATTTATACTTATATATTGCCAGGATATTTTCAGCTCATGGATATTCAACAGGATATCCAGAAGACGGTGTTACATGTCTCGAATTTGTGTCTTTTAAATGCGAATAGAATACCCAAACAAGCATCAAAGTTCTACATGTAAGAAACCCACAAAGTTATTGAAAACAAACACTTCAGAAACACTTAAATTCTAAATGGATGTAGTAATTGTCAGGTTGGAACAAATATTAGGACTTTAAAAAAAAAAAGTTAATTTGTTTTTATTCAAACTGATATCCTCTCTTTTGAAATCAAAGAAATGTGCATTTAAAACTTGTTCACCTAGCTGAGTTCATTAGAATGATTTGCAGTAGCTGGTAACCTATCATTAAAAGAAAGAAGCCAGCAATTTTGGTATTTAAAAATAAACATGAGAATAAACAATTCAGGGTTGGAAGAAGAAAAAAAAAAATCACAATTTTTAAAGAAAAAAATCTCTCCAATCATATCTGATGTCATAAGGATATTTTGCATCAAATTAGCTGCATGTATCTATCATTGAAAGGAAGAAGTCAGTAATTTGGTGTAGCCAAAAAAAAACACATAAGGTTCACAATCACTTCACATTGTCTTTTTCCTCAATGAATAGGCTGCTAGGTTTATGCATCTAATGCTTTTTTCTTTTCTTTTTTTGGAAAAAATATTCCCCCGAAAGGCCAACCATCTCAAGAAAAGATGAAAGCAGAATAAAAACAATGAAGGGATGATAGAGAAGATAAGAGAATTTTTTTTTTAATATGAATTTCAAATGATAGAAGTAAATGAAGAAAGAATGGAATAATAAAAACAAATGTTTACATTACGGCAACGTAAAAGAGAAGATGATAGAAGTATAAAAACAAAGAATAACTAAGGAAATGCATACATCATAAAAGGATGAAAAATGAAGAAAAAGAAGAGAAATAATAATGAGATAATAGAAAAATAAGGAAATACATTGGAAATGATGTAGGAAAAGATGAAGAAGTAGTGATACATATCATACTGAAATATAGAAATAAAAGATGAAAGTTAAGTGAACACAACAATGAATAACTTGAGATAGGAAGAGAATAAAGAAAAAAGGCAAAGATAGAAGGAAATATTAGGCCTCATTGAGAAAAACAAAGATAGTACAATGACAAACAATGACATAAGAAAATATTAAGAAGAATAGGTAAAAAATACATAGAAAATATTAGATGAAGTAAAAGATGAAAAAAAGAAAAAAGAATAACATATATACTGTATAAGGAAATAAAGATAAGATCAAAAGAGTGGGAAAGAGTTGTACTACATTAAAGTGACTCAATTGATATGGGCTATGCATGTGTTTGTATCTAGCCGCTCAACTCAATTATGTGCACAGAAATGATGGGCCAACAAAAACATCTTCAAATAACTTGTATTTATTTGTTGCACACAACTATCCAAAAGTTAGAGAAATGTCTACTTTATGATATTTCAAAGAAACAAAATTCTTTATCACACAAGTCTATGGAATATTTTTTTTTTTTAAATCGGGGCAATTTTCAAATCATGATTGATATAAACTTGTGAAATATTGAATCATTATTATTAGGTCAACATGATCTACATAGAAATATATTTAGCAACAACGTCATTCCAAGATACAAATCTAATATAGATTGCGAAAAGAAAACTTATTATTTAATATGAACTGTTATCAGTATACTGCCCTTGCTTACCTTTAACAGCTGTGTTATCATACAGGATTCATTTTCTACACGTACATGGTCTTCAGACCTGGCATCATCTCTTCCTCTTTCTCCATCGGGTTCCTCATCACAAAGTTCTTCATCCTCTATTCCTTCATCCACATTAAAGCTATCAGCCTCCTGTCTTAAACCTACATTGTTGTTATCATTGGAGTTTTCAGAATGTTCATTTCTGTCTGCACCAATCATGAATTCTATGAGTTCCTCTAAGGGGCGAGAGAGTTCTCTTTCTTCTTCTTCAGAAAGGCCATAGTCCAGAGCTTGATAAATAGTTCTCCCAAGTGTATTCATAACCTGAAAAATTATTCACAAAAATGTGAAAGAGAAATGCAAATTCACTAGTTTGTTACTTTAAAAGAAAGCAAAACAAATAAGAGAAGCAGAATGGACTGTTAGAACAAAATGATATAGTGGAGGACAACATCTTCTGTTTGCTCCAACACCCAAAAATTGGTAATGCCATATTTATTATTGATTCAACTCTAGTTTCCAAACAACTTTTTAGAGTGGTTTAGATCTCAAGTCTCATGTTTTAAAGTTCAAACGTTCTGTTTTGTCTTCCGATTTTTAAAAAAACTTTTATCATTCGGTTTTTTGCATTCTTCTGCTTTTATGCATGAACTTATAACAAAGGTGGATCACCCTTTAACCTTCTGATTTGCTTCTCTGACTTTACTTTTAAAAGCAACTTAGGCAAGAAATAAGAGGGCCTAGATTTCACCTTTAAAGTTGTCATCATGAATTTAATTGGACAAACATCAAAATATGGTACATGTACATGTAGTAGTAAACTATAATACAATGTAAATTTAGAAGAGAACCCATCAACAAAATATCTTTCTTCATATTGTGTGAAGGGTTTCATACATATTTACTCTCATCAAATATCACTTGAAAATAATATTTCAACCTGTTCATAATGTAGACATTATAAAGAAAAGATTTATTATAGTGAGCAGATTGATTGAACTCAAAATTTCTTTCTAAGGAGCTCAAGTAATTTCATCATCAGTATTCATCATGTCACTCAATTATTGCTAGCATAAATTTACTGGTACTACATGTATTTTTCATCAATATTTTGCTTGTTAATGGTAGTTAGAGGGGCTACATGTATGTGGAGGTAAAACAATGTAGCAGCACTATATCCAAACACAACAAAATCAGAGAAAACCCAGATAGATTTAAATACAAAAGGTTTCTGGAAACTTACCACGGTTTGTGTCTCTCTTGTGTGATCTGCATAGACAGTTTAAGGAAAACATAAATTTTAATGTTACTTGCCTAGACTACATTTACCTGTAGTATAATCATACAGCAAAACTGCCAGATATTTTTCTTTAGTTAAATAGGATAAAGAAAAATTCCATGTACCTTTTCTAAAGAAACAATTCAATGAGTAAGACAGAGTATTATTACCATATCATCATCAGCATGGTCATAGTGTGGACAGACATTAAATCTCTCACAAACTCTATGAGATATTTATGCTCGAAATATGGCATTATATGCTGCAGAAGTCAATTGTTTTTAGCTTGAAGTGGCTGAAATTCGATTGGGCTACATAGTACATACTAATAGGAATGCCCATGCATTGTGTGTCTGGACAAGCTGTGTACACAGTGTACCCCGACAGATATTATTGCATGGTAATTTGAATACGTTTGCAATATAAAGGAAAGTCTACCCCCGATATTAAGTTGGTTTTGAAAGCTTTTAACTCAAAAATTCTAAGCAGAAAATGAGAGGAACTGGTCTGAAAGCTTGAGCAAATTCAGTATAAAATAAGAAAGTTATGAATGTTTAAAGTTGTGATCAATCAAACTCAAGTTGGCATCACTGTGACATATCTTCTGAGCTCCTCTCCCATATCCTCTGCACTAAACATAATCCCCCCCCCCCCCCAAAAAAAAGTCCCTTATAGAAAATGTTCAATCATAATTGCACCCTAAGAGTTATTTAAAATGTGTCGAGACAACCCCTGTATGGAAAACATCTATTCCATCATCAACAAAGAAAATGAAAGTTCATGAAATCTTATAAACAGAGCAGATTGGAGAGAAGCTCGGAAGATACTTCACAGTGTTGCCAATTTGTATTTGATTGATCGCAACTTCAAAAATTCATAACTTTTTTTTTAATTCTGAATTTGCTCAACCCTTCAGACCTGTTCCTCTCATGTTTCTGCTTCTATCAAAACCAACTTACCATCAGGATGAACTTTCCCCTTTAAACATCCACAAATCTTTCCATTGAAGCCTTTGGCACAGGTGTGTTTGTTAAGCAATCTAATGAAAAATACTCATTATGTGTACTTTTACTTTTTAACGTTAGTTGTTATTTGATGCATACTTTTCCTTTAAAGCTTATCTGTACTAGTTTATAGGAGGGATTAGAACACCCTGCAAGGTCACTGACAGGTGGTTATCTCATCAACTCAAAAGAGGATCATGGGGGACCAATGGTCACTGATTAGGCATTGTTTTCTATATAAAGGGAGCAAGTACATGTAGCTACAAGTAGGACAGTGTGGCTTTAAGTTAAAATAATAATAATAGTGATGGCAAATCAAACCTTTGTAATAATTTCACTTGTATAAATGCAAAAATAAGAGAAACTGATTGGCAAAAATGTACATGGTCCTGTTAAAATTAAAAAGCAATAACATATAATTCAACAAAAGTTTGTTGACATAAAATTTTAAAAATAGTAAAAAATCAGAAATGTAAGTATCATTTGACATAACATACTACTATATAATTAAAGTAAAAAAACGACAAAAATACAATAGAATTAAAAATAAAAGTTCTTATATTCTAGTTATAAATCAATTTAAAAGTTTCAATTGCTTGGGTAGACTTTGTTTAAAGTGGGGAATGCCATTCCATCCTTTACCACCGGCAAATGTAAAGGCTTGTTTGAAAATTGAGAGGTGGACTTCATGTGGTACTACATGTACATTAACACTATCATTATTCCTAATAATATGGTAATTATGTCGATCACAAAACATTTTGATATAAAAACCTACATGTAGACTAGATCTAGTTCAATATCATTAAAATTGTGGAGGGCCGAGGAGCTATAAAATAAAAAAAAAGTGTGCAGCTAGGAATGGTCGATTACGAACTCATCGATTAAGGCTCTGTTTACAATTACACTTAAGTCTTATAGTCATAAGTCATACTCAAGTAAACTAGATTAGTAGTAGGCCCAATGCTATAGAAATGTTCGGTCTAACACGATACTACTAGTTAGAAGAGAGACGTTAGACGGCCACTCATTTTCAATGTTCAACTTCAAGCATGTAAATGGATGCCAATTAAGGCTTGGTGATATCATTACCTATCATATTTCATGTTATCACTAAGACCTTAATCCAGGTTATCCGGACACAGATCTCTGTATACGGACCTCATTTTACAGTCAAATAGACAGTAGACAGTAGCCTCTCTAATACGAACCTGTGTCTATAGCGAACATCAGGCGAACAGTTCCATCGTTGCTGAGCAGTACGCCGTTTGCACCTTCCACCGTTACATTCCTATCTAAACTTTCATCTAAAAACTTTCCACATTGATAGCAAATGGCCCAAGCTTGTTCTTCGTTTAAAGGTGCGCTGAAAGCTTCCAGGATATCTTGTAATGATATAATTTCTTGTTCCAAAAGGAATTTTCCTTTAACTGCGTCGTTCTCCATTGCGAGAGGTATATCCTGGCGACATTTACGTTCTCAATCGTCTAGCTAGAAAGTAGTAGTGTAACTAAAGTGTACATTAGTCTGTACACATAAATGCGACGCATCACAGACCGGTACATACCGCAAGCCACACTGCACTGGTATGAATGAAGAGTGGTGTTTGTGTACAGTTAGCTAGCTAGCTATGCTGTGCATGCTCTATATGCATCCCTATTACGCCAGGCATCGCCAATATTTTCACCTGCATATTTTGTATGCAAAGGGATCTTTGCATCATTTTGAGCCTAAAAGTACACCAAACTTTGTATAAAGTATTGTAAGTCGCTTCTTACGTAATTTCAAGGAGATTTTAAGGGGAATTAGACCCCATAATTGATAATTGATAGTTTGACTGATTATATCAATTCGATTTGCAGGGTCTCTTTGGCTTTTAGAGACTTTGTGTTGCTCTTAAAAATTATCCACATCCACAACACAAAACAAATATAAATGGCGAAAATTAAAAAAACTGGATTTAGTATGTGTGCATGCATCATGCATGCCCCCGATTCTGTATAACAATTAGAGTACTATATTTTAATGGGTAATTTACAAATGATTCGAAAATTGTATATTGCTTTGCTCCCTGCCACATTGAATTTCTTCAGTATCATAATTTAGCACCCCTAATCAAGGTTATCATTGGATGATAACTTTTTAGAGGGTTCCAATTTCGAAATTGCTCTGCTAGTGTATTCTGCTCTTGTTGCTTTCGTTGCTTTCTTTCAATGTTTACATCGCTTTTGCTCACTACTTACTAGTATGTCAAAGTTACATGTATATGATTGATGCTTCGAATCCATGTCATAATTTTCTAAAGCTCGGGTCGCTTTGCTCCCTCTCGTGTGATACAGCAGGAGCCCGTAACGTCGTGCCCAATATAATTATAAACAGTGGCGGATTCAGGGGGCACAGGGGGGCACGTGCACTCCCCCCCCCCCGGCCCCCCCCCCCCCCCGGTTAAAAAAAAAAAGGCCGGGGGAAAGGGGAAAGGGAGAAAAAGAGAAAAAGGAGGGGGAAAGAAATAGGAGGGGAAAAAGAGGGAAGAGAGAAGAAAGAAAGAAGAAGATAGGCCTATAGAGGGAGGAGAGAAAAGGGGAGACAGAAAAAGGAGGAGGAAATTGGAAGAAATGGGAAGAGAGAGAGAAGAGAAAAGGCGGAAAAGGAAGAAAGGGGGAAAGACGGAGGAGAAAAAAGGGAAAGGGAGAATATAATGAGAAGGGAAAAGAAAGAAAGGTGGGTGATATTACAAGAAGGTGTTTTTTTTTTTTACCGGGACTCAAGGGGCGGGCGCAATGTTGCAGTATTTCATTATATGGGGTCCCTCTTGCCAGGCGTGTAGCCCCCCTCCCCCCCCCCAAAAAAAAGCACAAGAACAACAACAAATAAGGAGATGGAAAATGGCAATTTTTTTTCTCCCTACAGACTGTGACTTTTTATCGGACAAAAGAAACTTTTAAAAATTAAGCGATGATTAAGAGTCGGTACAACGAATCGTCTGAATTTCTTTCTCTAATAATTTAATGAAACATCAAAGCTTTCGCGCTACTCGCAGGAATTATAAGGGAAAACTGAATTCAGACAAGAAAGAGTCGAGAACGGTACAACGAATCGTCTATTTTCTCTAATAATTTAATGAAGTGTCAAAGCGTTCCGCGCTTCACATGGGAGGGGGGAACTGAAAAATAACTTAGTTCCTGGCCCCAGGTTTATAGGGGAATTTGTAGACATTGGGACATTGGCATTAATGTATTTGCATGTCGGTAAATGGTGGCTAGTTTTGTCGGTCATTAGTGCCTCTACACCCCCCCCCCCCCCCCCCCCCACCCACTGAAAAAGGTCTAGCGACGCCCCTGATAACAACACAGTTTATACACTCGAGATCATCATTTTTAGCAAGTACTACAGGGTTAAGTACCAGCTAGACCACCCTCTTTGTGCATTGCGCAGCAACGGAGCATATACAACGTCTCTCGACGTGACAGCCACTTTTCTCTAACTTCTAACCAATCAGAAGGCCTCATTTTTTCCCCCAGGAAGTGCCGGTGGACATTTATCGGACATTAATGCGCCAAATGTGGCTCTCAAATTGCAATAGATCCCTACTCTCGGAGGGGGTAGGAGAACTTAGCAATTTAACTCCAGAAAGTGCCTGAAAAAGCACTTGAATGTGCAGGATCTAAAGTTGCAAATGCTTTCTACTTAGGGAGGGGGTCAGAACCCCCTCCCTATAAGTATAGAAGCTCCCCTCCCCCACACCTTTGGTAGCTAGCCAACAAATAAAACAGGAAACTAGGGGAAATGAGAGCGCAACAGAAGAAAAAGGAGAAATGAAAAAGAAAAGAAGGTAAAAAAGAAGAAGAGAGAGAGAGGGACAGAGGAAAATGAGAGAGAGAGAGAGAGTGAGAGAGAGAGAGAAAGAGAGAAGTAAAGAGAAAGAAGAAGAATTTGATAGAGAATTACTTCAAATCCCAGCTCCTTATATTAATATTTCTCTTAACTATCTTTTCATGAAAGTTTAAATTATGGATTTTTATCTGATGATTGGAAACTGGCTAGAACTACGCCTGTTTATAAAGGTAAAGGTGATAAGAATGATATTTCACATTATAGACCCATCTCAGTCGTATGCCATATTGCTAAACTTCTTGAAAAGGATGTTCAGTACGTTTCCTTGCAGACCAATCATTTTATTAGTGTATAGTGTTGACCAATATTTTTTTGCCAAATCATTCAACTTATAAAATCATGTCTACACAGAGTCATTGGTATGAATCTTTATATGAAAAGGAAAAAGTTTGTGCATGTTTTCTTGATACTTAAAAACGTTTTAATTGTATTGACCAAAAACTTTCGTTGCACAAATTGAATAAATATGGTGTTTTGAATACTGAACTTAAATGGTTTTCTAGTTTGTTTTTGTTTTTATCTACTAGGAATCAAGCAACTTATTGTCATGGTAAACTATCTGAAACAAAAGACATTACTATATGAATTCCTCAGGGGAGTATTTTAGGCCCCTCCCTCTTTCTTGTTTTTATAAATTAAATATAACTGATTGTTTACTACATGTATAATATATACGCTGATGGTTTTGTCTTATGTTTCTGATGTGGATATTGATATCATTACTACTCAGCTCCAACCAGATTTATATGCCATAAATGAACTGTATTGTAAAAATAGATTACGTATAACACCAATAAGAGTAATGTTATGCTGTTGAGTAGTAACACACGAGGTAACAATAGTCTGAAGGTGCATATCAATAATGAAATAATAGAACAAGTAAGAAGTATCAGATATTTAGGGATTGAAATTGATTATAGATGATTTCGGGATATACCCACATTAAATCTCTTAGCAAATCGTTAAGTTATGAGATTTTTTACTTTAAGAAAGCTCAGTAAGTTTCTATAAGCTCTTCCATTTCGAATAAAATATACAAATTAATGTACCATACAGCCAATCTTTGATTATTCTTGTTCCGTATGGGGGAACTGTTCTTTACAAAACAGAAATATTCTTTTAAGACTACAGAAAAGAGCTGCACGTATTGTTGTAGGGAATTTTGATTATGATGTTAACAGCTTGAATATAATGAATTCATTGAAATGCCAATCCGTTGACACTAGACGTGGCTATTTTAGCATGCATTATGTACAACTGTATTCATGGAAAAGCCCCGGTACGATTGTGCAATGAAGTGGAAATGGTGTTTGACAGACATGTTTTAACACTAGACTTGCCAATACATTGAAAGTTGTTTTACCCGAGCCTACTCTTGAATTGTTTTTGATACAATCATGATGGTGGTAAAATCTGGAAAAGCTTACCTTTTGCTCTTCGAAATTCCAAATCTGTCGATGTCTTTAGTTGGTTTTTAAAATCAATGAATATCTACTTTAAACGTTTATACAAGGACAATTGTTTGTAAACCTGTGTGATACAGTGCCTATTCATATACAGCTCTCGACATGGCGTATTTCTCCCCTCTCTCTCTCTCTCTATTTTCTACCAATTTCTTAATTTAAATTGTTACATTGTCGTTCTTGTTGTTGCTTTTTACTATTTCCAATGCGTATTATTCTTATATTATTAGTTTTATACTGTTTGTATCTTTGCTTGTGAGCTTTGGTGATTTTCATTATTTAAATTTCTGTGTATTACATTTTTATTCTGTTCACGACCAGGATGTAAAACAGATTTTGTATCTACAATGTATATCTGATTCTTGTTATCCTGATTTAATATACTTCAATACAAAATAAATTGATAAAACATCCTCTCACAAAGATCTTTACAACATTCTCTCACAAAGATCTTTACAACATTCTCTCACAAAGATCTTTACAACATCCTCTTACAAAGATTTTACAACATCCTCTCACAAAGATCTTTTCAACATTAACTCACAAAGATCTTTACAGCATCCACTCACAAAGATCTTTACAACATCCTCTCACAAACATCTTTACATCATCCTCTCACAAAAATCTTTACAACATCTTTACAGCATTCCCTCATAAACATCTTCACAACATCCTCTGAAAAAGATCTTTACAACATTCTCTCACAAACATCTTCACAACATCCTGTCTCACAAAGATTTTTACATCATCCTCTCACAAAAATCTTTACAACATCCTGTTACAAAGATCTTTACAACATCCTCTCACAAAGATCTTTACAACATTCCCTTACAAGCATCTTCACAGCATCCTCTCACAAACATTTTCACAACATCCTCTCACAAACATCTTTACATCATCCTCTCACAAAAATCTTTACATCTTTACAGCATTCCCTCATAAACATCTTCACAACATCCTCTCACAAAGATCTTTACAACATTCTCTCACCAACATCTTCACAACATACTCTCACAAAGATCTTTACAACATTCCCTCACAAACATCTTCACAACATCCTCTAACAAACATCTTCACAACATCCTCTCACAAACATCTTTACATCATCCTCTCACAAAAATCTTTACAACATCTTTACAGCATTCCCTCATAAACATCTTCACAACATCCTCTCACAAAGATCTTTACAACATTCTCTCACCAACATCTTCACAACATACTCTCACAAAGATCTTTACAACATTCCCTCACAAACATCTTCACAACATCCTCTAACAAACATCTTCACAACATCCTCTCACAAACATCTTTACATCATCCTCTCACAAAAATCTTTACATCTTTACAGCATTCCCTCATAAACATCTTCATAACATCCTCTCACAAAGATCTTTACAACATTCTCTCACCAACATCTTCACAACATACTCTCACAAAGATCTTCACAACATCCTCTCACAAAGATCTTTACAACATTCCCTCACAAACATCTTCACAACATCCTCTCACAAACATCTTTACAACATTCCCTCACAAACATCTTCACAACATCCTCTCACAAACATCTTTACAACATCCTGTTACAAAGATCTTTACATCATCCTCTCACAAAGATCTTTACAACATCCTCTCACAAAGATCTTTACAACATCTACTCAAATATATCAATCAACATCTACTCAAATATATCAATTAACATCTACTCAAATATATCAATTAACATCCACTCAAATATATCAATCAACATCCACATAGAAATCATTAACATCCACTCAAATATATCAATCAACATCCACATACAAATCATTTTGGGATGTCATTGCTTCCTTTTCAAATTGATCATAAATGAGGAGAAAACAATAACAATTTTTTTTTCTATTTGATATCCATTCTGTATACAAAATATAGTGTTTCTCCTTTTCATAATTTACATGTTCATGCATAAAGTGTATATATATATATATATGCAAATAAATAATTGTTAGAAGCATGATATCCCTTAAAGCAAACTGCAAACAATTATCTTTACTCTCCGCCTCACTGAAGATTATGCGATACATTATCTGTATCAATTTGCACACTAAAAATTTATTCCTCCAAAAAGAAAACGATCTCCATAATGTAAGCAAAGTACATGACATGTACATTCCATATAACATGCCTTATCCTATATTCATTGACAAATGGAAATGAAATATTTTAACTGGTCTAAATCCTGTTGAAGGTACTATGTCCCATTTGCAGGCCAAAAGAATGAAAAGGTTAAATTCCAACGGCATTTGAAAGATAATACTAATTTAGAACTTCCTTAAAAAAAAAAGGATTGAAAATGTGTTTGAGTTGGAAAGTAACGACTTTTAGTTGTCGAATCGACTTGAGAGCTATAGAGCCAGTAAGTAATAGTCTGATTTTTAGACCATTGTACCCAATGGTTGTACGTTTTATGCTGTGCAAAGATTCAATCAGCTTAATTTTGGTCATTACAAGAAGTGGGTTATTGATTTAGACAAATGCTCACTACCCTCTACAGTTCATTTTATGTATGTTATTACCAAAGAAGAAAAAAGCCAGTCAGTAACTCAATAGTGCCTGACAGTGAAGTCTAGCAAGTAAACTGGTTTCCTTGCATAATTTGAATATAAGGACACTGCTAATGTTTAACTTTCACAGATAGGACATACATGACATATTCATAATTCCTGCAAAGTTCTACAGATTTTGATTTAGGCTGCAACAGGGACATTGTACCTGTAAAGGGAAAGCAGGACAAATAAACAGATGAACCACCTTATAAACCATCACAGATAATGCAATGGCTGTACTGTAATCCTAGAAACTTGTGTAAAATGAAACAGCAATTCATGATAACAAGAGTTCATGAATTGCTAAAACTCATTGTTGGTTAATTGTGATCCACATATTAATTGCACTGCATGAAACCATTGCCAATCAGAACCACATGTGTGAAAATTTCATGCTGGGGAAAGTATCTGGTATTTCAGAATATTCCAAGCAAGAAAATCACAAAGTAAGCTTTTAAAAATTACCCCATCACTTAGCAAAAAGCATGAAAGATAGTCTAACAAATAGAACCACATACATTACGTGTACGTACGTGTAAAGGACGGATAGAGGGGAGTAAAGACAAGGAAATAGCTAGTGTTCTGTAACACACTTTGTGTTTAATTAGGCTTGAACAGTTTTCACAATCTTTAACCAGAAGTTGATTTAAAAGAATTGAACCAATGTTACTTTCATGTCTTCAAGATTGTATGTAATAATTCATTCATGAATTAGGGCCTTACAGTACAATAGGTGCTTTAAACTACCACATCTTATTATTGTATCTATTCTTTTTTGACAAGGCAAGTCTATTTATTCTTCTATAAATTCTAAATGGGTTAATGAACGGTAGTGAGCATTGCAAAAGATTATAAAACAGGTTCTAGAATGTAGGTTAAATGGCACATGACCATGCATCATTCTTTCCAACCATGCCTACCATGCAGACAAGTTCCCATCAAAAAGTGATAATGCATGACTGAAATGCACATATGTGTTTCTCTGACATGTACTAAATTAAGACGCAATGAAATGCACAAGTAGTTGCAACTGGCGAGGACAATGATGGGCACACTGCACAAGGCCACGCTTAAACTGTTACGTCATTCAAAAAAATATTGGCCTCTATGACTGTGCGACTCTTGGCAATTTGATCACATTTGTTGCTCATTTCTCAGCTATTTATTTATATTGTAGACCCATTTTATATAAAAAGTATTCATGTTTTAAAGCTTATGCATTAGTGATACACACTGCACTTGGTTAATTAAGTCACATGAGCAACATAATGAACCAAACAGTTCTCATTTATAACCTGCATGCAGTTCATATTCACTCATGCACTTGCAAACATGATTATATGTATGGTACACTCATTTTGTAACAAGATTATCAATCAATATTGGAACATAGAATTCTAATACTCACAAAATTATATACTAGGTTGTAATACATGCTTTAAAAGGTATAATAGGTCAACAGTCTTTTCACAGAAATGACTTAATTCTCATTAATAATGAGAATTAAGTCATTTATGTAAAATGTAAATGTAAAATGGTTCAAATATTTTCTGTTGCAAATAATGACATTATTTGCTCAGAAAATATTTGAACCGCTAAAGTAACATAAAGATATACAAAGTTCTAAGAAATATAAGTGATGGAAATGTTCAAAAATACACCGAATCAGTGACAACTACATTGAAAGTGAAAGGTATTTGGTCCCATAGTTACTGACTACATCTATGATCCTACTATTTGTGAAAATGACGGTATATCAAGATGATAGCCTTTTGAGATCTGGGATCAGACCAATATGAACGAAAAGGGCAATTTTTAGTTCCGTTTCCATTTTTCTTGGTAAGATATGGAAAGCAAATGACAAAATACCTTAGACTTGGACATTTCCCATTACCACAGACTGAGCCAATTACACACACAAACATGTATATTAGCCAACTCACTTTCAGTTTAATAATAATAATAATAATAATAATCTTTTAAAGTCCACTCCAAATTTTATTATTAAACTTAAACCGAAAATGGAAATTCTTTTTGCCCAATTGATCGTGAGCCTGGCAGCCACTGAGCAGCGCCAGATCGACGTTGCTCTATCCCTTATTGTTGAACGCCAAACAAGGTAGCAGCAACTCTCGTCTTTTAACGTATTTTGGTATGACGCGGCCGGAGTTCGAACCCATGACCTCCTGGTTGTGAGGCGGACGCTCTACTGACTGAGCCAACACACCCTCATGCACATTCTTTCTGTATGGGCTTGCCCAGCAAAGCAAAAATGTGTCCAGTTTGAATTGAAGTGGCTAAACTAAGTATACATATCAAAGAATCTGATCAACTGCTTACAAGAACAGAAAAAGAAGTAGAAAGTATATATGTGTGTGTGTGAGAGATAGAAGGGGATTAGTTTATATATAGAATACATCAGTTTCTAATACCATGCTTTTTGGTTTTCGGTTCTCTTTGAAGAGTAAAGGATATACCGGTAATCAATCTCTTATGTACTAAATATGCATGACCTGTTCGTATCTTCAATCTATTATGTACTACCTATGCATGACCTGTTTGTATCTTCAATCTCTTATGTACTACCTATGCATGACCTGTTTGTATCTTCAATCTCTTATGTATTACCTATGCATGACTCGTTTGTATCTTCAATCTCTTATGTACTTCCTATGCATGACCTGTTTGTGTCTTCAATCTCTTATGTACTACATATGCATGACCTGTTCGTATCTTCAATCTATTATGTACTACCTATGCATGACCTGTTTGTATCTTCAATCTCTTATGTACTACCTATGCATGACCTGTTTGTATCTTCAATCTCTTATGTACTTCCTATGCATGACCTGTTTGTATCTTCAATCTCTTATGTACTTCCTATGCATGACCTGTTTGTGTCTTCAACCTTTTATGTACTTCCTATGCATGACCTGTTTGTATTTTCAATCTCCGATGTACTTCCTACGCATGACCTGTTTGTATCTTCAATCTCTTATGTACTACCTATGCATGACCTGTTTGTATCTTCAATCTCTTATGTACTTCCTATGCATGACCTATGTGTATCTTCAATCTTTTATGTACTACCTACGCATGGCTTTCTTCACAGCTATCCTTGCCTCATCCATCTCTTCAAATGTGACGGGCTTCCCAATAATCTGCTGATGAATCTTCTGGAAGAAGGGAATGAAGGTAAGAAATTCCACAAAATCAATGCTTCCATTCCCATCTTTGTCTATGGTGTTGTGGATAGAACGTACAGCTTCCTTGTCAATGCCAATGTCGATACCCGTTGAAACAGTGATGATAAACATGATTTCATCCATTGATAGACGTCCATCTCCATTCTGATCAACTACATCAAACATTTCCTAAAAATCAAACAAAAGGAAGACCAGTTGCTTTGTTTATACTCTTGGAGTTTTTCATCTTAATTTCCAATTCAATTTTCAAAATTAATCGTAAAAAGGGCTTGTTGTCTCTCAGCTGTGAACATTTCGCCCCCCCCCCCCCCCAAAAAAAAAATGTAATAAAAGAGCCTATGAAGTATGAGCATCTCTTTCCGTAGGATAAAGAAAACTATCCAGAATAACAATAATATCTAAGATTTGTAAGGCACTAAATCCACCTAAAATCAAAAGATTCAAGGTGCACTAGTGAAAAATAAGAATCCTATAAAAGCATCTGTATGATACACAAACGAAACAACAGGAGTAGGACAAAACATATATTATCAAGTCATAATACATCTCATATTGACAAAGTTTGGTATATGAGGTAGATTTGCAATCGGGCAACTTTGGGGTCTGTTTCGGGAGCACTAGCTAGCAGGGGGTTTAACCAAACAAGGTCAGGCTAACAAATATTTTGTTATTGATTTTAATAAGTGGTTTTAGTTAATCCAGGGGTGAAATTTTTTGGGTAAATTAGAGTGATTATTTTGGGATAGGATCCCCTACTATGAACACTCTGTGAAACTCTTCACAAGGTAATGGGAGTTGTAAAATAGAAGTCAAACAGATTAATATGGAGAGTGAAGATGATATTAGATACTCACCTTGTATGCTGTGATGTGTAGAGAAAGTCGATTCAAGTTTAGTTCTAATGGAGCTGCTTCTGAAGTTACCTCCTGACCAATCAGTTTATCATTGAGAGCAGCAACCGTCACAAACTCACGATGGTCAATCGTTTTATCTTTGTTCAAATCAAATACCTGTCATAAAGATGAATGTCAGAGGATTCAAAATTATATGTGGCTTGCGATAAAACTAGTTAACTCATTCATCCAGCTTCTACATGTATGACTAAGAGAAATTCAGGATCACAGGCAGATGAACATTAACAAATTGAGTTATTATCATTGTTATATTATTAACAAAGACCTATCTATATGTCTTAGTCAATATAAGAAACATGTACAATGTACTCTACTGCAGTGCACTTTGATATTCCTTTAACAACGTACCAGTACCCAAATGTAAAGTATCAATGTAGCCTAATTTGGATTAAAGATGCAAATTAGCTAAAAATAGCTAGATTATAAAACTCATATTTTCACTATGAAGCTGCATGTCAGTACTAAAAGTAACCCACTTGTAACTGAAATTTTGAGAACTCATTTTATCGGGGGAGGGGTTTTGACACTTTGACTGAACTCTAAGATGTAAGTCGGCCATGGAAAGTCTGACCGACACCCACAAAAATTATGGACACGTGTACAGAGGAGTTGAATAATATCTTTTATGACAAAAGTTTATTTATCATCATGATTTATATATATACTACATGCCTGCTTTATATTCAATAATATTCTATCTAAAATGATTGATGAGGGCCATTCATTTTTTTAAAGTATGTGAAGAAGCAAAGTATTCACAGCAAAAGCCAATTTGATGTTACAGGAAATGTACATATCATATAAAATGGTATTTAATGATATTGATGAGTTAAATAAGTGTCATTGTTTCAATCAGAATTTTAGTTTGACAATTAAAGTGAAAATATAAATTCAGATATCTTCTTGATGAATTCTCATTTCCACATTTTCCAAAAATTAACCGTAATCATGATTTAACTAGATGAATCTTCAACTGCTTGCAGTTGTAACTGATGGCTCCACCATAGAGCGATTTTACAAACGAAAATAGCAGCAATTTTTGAAATTCAAGTTTGATTGAAATCCATGAACAAGTACTCAGAATATCATGGTTACAAGCCATTTTTCATATACATGTATTACCCTTTGATCTTTGACCTCATGACCCGAAATGCAAGATACATACATGTCCTGAATTTGATGATAATCCTTCCATTGGTTCTAATGATAATGTGATCACAAGCTATTTTTGTATACATAATAAGCCCTGTGACCTTTGACCTTGTGACCCCCAAATCTGATCTGAGATGCTTCAGATGATCTGTTAACCGTTTACTGCTCAGTCCTTTTTCTTTCACATGATTTCAATAGAACTAGATTACTTTATGCTAATTCTGATTTCTTTCTAATTTGTGCTTCCATATGTTGAAAAAAGCTATATTGCTCGTATTTATGCTGATTTATTTTTCAGATTCAATATATCATGTTATATGTTATGCTAGATATTACATTATGTGTTATTAATTTTGTTTGTAAACTTTTGTAATTCGGCTAAACGCCGCGATGAAAGTTTTATTTGAAATAAACCATTTTGAATTGAATTGAATTGAATTAGAAGTAAACAAAAATGTAACTAAGATCTATGTAGTACCTTGTGTAGAAGGTGAATATCATTCTTAGATACATTGGCGTGCATCTTCTTTGTGAGTTCTTTCAAAGTGATTTGTCCGTTTCCATCTGTGTCTAGCTCTCTAAACTTTTGGCTGAAGATCTCTCTTTGTCTGCTACTGATGAAGTTATACACATCCGTCATCTAGCATGTTAAAGTAGAAATGTTAAATATGCAACATCACCAAGCTTTTATCTTTTATCCTTTTATCACTTTTTTTATGCTACATATTGATAGTTTACCGGTACTAAAAATATTTAAATTAGAGTTAATAAAATAAAATAAATCCTGGGAAGCAAAATTAAAAACAGTGCACAGAAAACTTGCTACTGGTAATATGATTATTTTTTTTTCCTCATTTTTTTTCAATCGTTTCAGAAGTGTATCTCTTTCAGTTTTAAGATATGCAAATTAAAAAAAGAGACAAATTTAGGAAAAAGTAGTATTTTGCACACATACATATGAAAATGTAGATTTTCATTCAACACTTGAAAGAAAAAAATGTCATCAAAACATGTGTCTCATTTGGCATTAATATTCAATGGAATACAATTACATTTAAAAAGAAACTTGACCTAAATCAATTCTGAATTGTCTATCATTAGTTTACCCCAAACAAGACAAAATCATGCTCTGTTTAATATGCACATGAGTCAGGACCACTAGCTTGATCTTACTTTGCTAGAATACATTTCCTGTTAAAATTGTTTGGCAGGTATCATGAATCTGTAGACATTCAGTGCAAGATCCATTTGATTCTGTGCTAATTCATTCTCTATTACATGTAACCTTTAAATAGCAAACATGTTACCTTGAACTTGATTTTGTTTGTCTGTTTGAGAGCTCTTTGTTTGTCTGCTTCCTTTCTCACTCTTTGAGCTTCATTCTGTTCAATCTTGACACTATTCTTTGCTTCCTTTCTCTCTTCTCTGAGTTGTATTGCTTTCCTTCTCTCCTCCTCACTCCTAGCTCTCCCAAATACTCCACTATCGTAACCCTCCTCACAGAGCTCCTTTTCATCAGTCTTCACTTCTGAGAGATCATAGTCCAACCTTGTGACATGACCTATGTCATCTACTCCCTGGGTCAAGGTATCAACCTTGTCCAGTTTCCTTTCCAGCAAAGTAATCTGACCGTCATAGTTGTCCAGTTGTTTCCCATCTATTCTCATAGCATTCAATGGTGATGCTGCCTCATCATACAGGTCCTTATGCTTAGGATCAACAAACTCCGTCAGGTATACACTGTCATAAACAAAATTGAAACAAAAATTTGTCAGTGTACCAGTCACCCATAAAGTCATTTATGTTGGCTAGAACATACGAAGAAGAAAAGAAGACTTTACCCTGCATTCTCATGCCGGACCTGCAGATAACAAGTATGAAGAAAATAAAGAATAACATAAAACAAAGAACCAAAATAGGACTTGATTCTGTGCAGGCACGTACAGTTGCATGTGGTAGTCTACTCACAAGTCGCTATTATATTAATTGAGACTGTATTTAAACAAGCAGTATCTCTTTTTAGATGTAATATTTCAAGCTCATATTTTCAATATAGTTTAGCCACATAAAACTCCTAACATACAAAACAAAATCTATTGGGGTGATTGGTACGCTTTAAGGTGGAGAACTTTCGATGGGGACCCATTTTCATATGGAGGCGCGATAGCTCAATCGGTAGAGCAGTGGTCTCATAATCCAGTGACCCGGGTTCGAAACCAGGTTGATTGTGTTAGTGCCCTTTGGTAAGGCATAAATACTCATTACCAGGTCCCTCGGAGAGGACCTAAAGGCGTCGGTCTTCTGGTTGCTTACTAACAAGCATTTATTGCTTTCTTAGCTGTCACATAAAATAATAACCACTACCACTATATGGTTCTAGCCAACTCCAACCAACATTCCAACATGGGGAACACCTACTATATGTCTGATAAAGCATAACTTACCAAAGAATAATAAACAAAGAGACCACAAACAAACATTTGTCTACATAACCAATATGAGAGAGAAATAAGAATTAAAGATGGAGCAAACTGTGAAAGAATGAAAGGAGCAGGAGACAAACAGGTAAAAGAATAGCATCCATAGACACAACATGGGGAAAATAGAAATAGAGATATAAAGCAACATATAGATTAAAGAAATGGGGGAAATAGAAAAGAAAGAGAGAGAGAGAGAGAGAGAGAGGCAGGCCGGGAACAAAGGAAAATGGGGAAGACATGTAAATGATGTGATTAAACAAAGAGATAATATATAACTCACTCTGATTTCTTCATGCTAAATGGTGTCTTATCAAGTTTCAATCCTGGAGCAATGCTGAAAAACAAAGCACAAAAAACATATACATGTATGTAGATCTTAATACACACTATTATTCATTATAATGTAACACTCAATAGATGAAAATTAATTGGATGTCAGGATTATTGAGGTGCCAAAATATACATTAAAAAAACTTATCTCATACAGTAGGCTTGGGGTGCACCGTGTGAGAGAGAGGGAGGATTGAGGAGTCCTTGAAAGGACTCTCGGTAATCTTTCTTGAGGGTTTGTAGTCCTGAAAAGGACTGTTTGGTATATAGTCTTGAAAAAGACTGTTGCTTATCTTTCTTAGCTTATAGTTCTAAGGAGAACTATAGCGCTTGGAGAGGATAATGGCGGGAGTGGCTCGACGTCTTGAACAGGTTGGCTATCCATCATTAGGAGTGTCAACCTGAGCAAACTGAGTAAAATTCTCAAAATTCTGAGAAAAGTAATGAATTGAATGCCGGCCCAGGATGGTGCACATTCGGGCAAGAGACTTAACCCCCCCCCCCCCCCCTAAAGATAAAGTGTCAGTATAACTAAGTGTTTATTAACTAGACAATGCAAGAGTGGTGAAAAAACAAATCTTGTGGCTGAATTGGGAATTGAGAGATCACCAAACATGACTACTTCTAAAATGGGTGCCGTGACTAAAAAAAAGTTGGAAAACGCTGGTAAATATTATTGTAAATGATATCTAAATCAATTTGCTTGATAAAAGCTACACAAATGTATCTCCCAAAAGATTATACTTTTTTCACTTTCCCCCAAACTCCTTAACACAAGGGGTTACAGAGTAGAATTGTATCAATGAAAAACTTAACAGTCCTCTCAAATATAGCCTGTAGAACACAGCATTGAGTGTGTTAGCTTAACATTGGAGATCCCATGTATCCCCTACACACCGTCCATGGGATACAATAAGTTATAGCATAGAAAATCTTCTTTGAAAAGCCACAAACTATTTTGAAATTAATCTTATGTCATAGATGACACATGCATGCAGACAGGTCACAGAGCAATGAAATATTTGGATCCAACCCAAATTATGATGCAATAAAACGGTGACTTACCTCTCTACAAGTCTGCCTCCAAGAGATTGATCCTATTGAGAGGTCAAAGGTCACAATATTGGGAAGAAGCAGAAGGCAGGGTGGGCAGGAACAACAAATAAAATAACAAAGAATAGATGCAAACAGAAAATAAAAGAAGTGAAGATTAAGTAGCGAGGGGAGGGAGAATAAAGAGGACAGACAAACTGTAGATGACAAATTAGTAGAAGCTGACTGGCATAAGAGAAATAGAATTGCATTAAAATAATAGCAAACAAGATTTTTTAAATAAAGCTAAAAGGAGAATGCACAAGATCACACAATATCTACAGGGTTGCTGCAAAAGGGTATTTTTAAAGTTAGTAATATTTCTAAAATTGCACACAGATAAGAACACGTGGAGGTTTTTTCTATTCCTAAGTGTAGGGAAATAAGCATGGTGGTGAAAAAGAGATGAGAGAAAATAAAATAAAAATATGAGCATCAAGTTTGAAAAGAAACACATGTCATATAGTAAAGTGTTTCGGGCACATGTATATCAGGACAGCACCTCCAAGATCAAAACCCAAGGACGTTTGTTAATAAACAGATCATAAATAAACTCATCCCATTTTTGCAGGGGTTACTGCACTGAACAACATTTGTAATTTTAATACTTCTTTCCAGATAGGGTTGAACATGTAGTAAGACAAGAAATAGTTTAGAAACACTGTCTTACATGAATTCATCTCATTTTTATGTCTAAGTCAATATTCAATAAAAACTTGTCAATACTCTTGACATTTCTATCAAAGTCATAGCTTAACAATGGGCAATTCCACGGTAACGGAAGGACACTCAGACAAGATTTTTGAACTTCAGGTTCATACTAAAAGAACTGTTTTATTAGTATAAGATGTGAAACAGTACAGATATAATACCTATATAAGTGCCTTTAATTCTCCCCAAAAAATTGTCATTATAGTTAAGTAGTTTAAGAATGTGCATATTAATTATCTCGGTAACGGAAGGACATAAAAATGGACATGGTTTTTCCAGTTAATTAGTGTTTATCCAAACTTTGTGAAGTTGATGAAGCTTTCCACTTGACTGAAACACATTTTGTTCCCCATAGTTTAATACATACTAATAAAACATTTCTTTTAGTATGAACCTGAAGTTCAAAAATCTTGTCTGAGTGTCCTTCCGTTACCGTGGAATTGCCCCAATGTTCATTGTTCTATATGTACATATTTACAGTACATTTGTTTGAAAACAACAACAGCAATATTCCTCAGAGTAGTGAAACAAGTAACAATTTAATGTACTGGTACTCAAAGGGGTGATAAATCACAGTTCTGTGGGGTTCTTCTCTCATTCACTCATATAATGACAAGGGGAGGACTGCATACTTTTGTGATTGCATAAAACATACTTAAAATCAGCGGGTTCTTGGCATGAAAATAAACCAATAAGTATACCATATGGGCTAACTTCTATCTATGGAGGAGAGCTATTGAGACAATATTTGAAACAAAAATTATTTTGGTTAGCTGAGGCTTCCTATCAACAGCAAACTGTAACAATAACAATAACAATAGTGGGTTCTTGTATAGCGCTCATGTCAGTCAGATTCGACCCTCCTAGCGCTCCCGATTATTACCCTGGCTTTAGCACGGCTGCCATTATTGGCACAAATATGGATGATAGAGAGACAGGTTGTTAAGAATCCCAAATTACCTTTGATGTAACACTTTCTTCACCATCCTGGGTGATTCTTAAGCCTCCTTCATCTTTATGACCATCACCATGACAACCATCTGAATGCTGTATGGAATCACCTGATGATATTCTTGTGAAGACATCATCAACACCACCACCTTCTCCTCCTGCCAGTCTAACATCTTCTCTTCCATCTCTAGAACCTTCTTTATCCTCATCAACATCTCTCTGACAACCATCTGAATCCTGTATAGTATGAGCTGATGACAGTTCTGTGACAGCATCACCACCACCGCCTTCTCCACCTACCACTCTACCACTAACATCTTCTCTGCATCTCATATCTATGTTATGACCATCAGTTGGACAATGCTCAGGTGCTACTGTCTGTCTGTCTTCTTCAGTTTGTCCTCCTTCAATATAGCTCCTTTCTGAATGTCCATTCTGCTTATCATCATGTTCACTATCATTCTCATGTTCATTCCTATCTTTCTCATCCCTTTCCTCCTCTCCTGTCCCATGGGGGCTCATGTTTTGTTTCTCTGATGAGTCTTCTGTCTTCCTGTCACGTTGTCCCTCTTTCTCACCTCCATTTATTACATTTGCATCTGGAAGACAAGAACAAAAACAAGAGATATTATTACAGAGAGGAAGTAACATTCAATAGTACATTTTTGTGTTTTAATAGCCAAAGTGTAATAAACAGAGTTAAATCGCAACACTTGAACATCTCTTAGCCCACTTAGCCTAACAAGCTCCATATAAACATGTAAAGTGCATTAAGTATATTCCATAATACAAGTACATAGTTGAAAAAGGATACTTTTTATGAATATATCAGAGAGCATCCTATTGGTTGAAAAGCTTTCATGTGACACTCAATAATTTGTTAAATAGTATCCAACAAAATTGAGTACACCCATAAAAATTGCCAATAGCCTTAACGTTGACATTCACTGAATATAATTAGATTTAAATATCACCAGGGAGTTTAAACCCCCCAAGAATAAAATGTCTCTTTTCTTTAGCATTGGCACAATGTTGGCAAGAAGGTGTAAAAGAGATATGAGCAAGGTATAAGATGGCATTTCTTGTAAGGCTGTGCACAACCGTGTAATGAGGTACCCGAGTACACTCCCAGGCTTACAAGCGAATACTTGAATATTCGGACGACATGGTTTTTTAATTATTTTTTTAAATTCTAATTTGTTTTTGTTTTTTTTTTTTTGCCACCACCACACCACGGGAGCAGTATCCCAGGCCGTCTCCGAAAACTCACGCAATTTTACTTCGAGTTGCAGTTGAATATTCGAGTTCAAGAAATCGTACTTGAATAGTAGTCAACAGTGCGAGTACTCAAGTATTCGACTACTCGTCACAGCCCTAATTTCTTCAGAGATGCAACATAGAAATGCCTCCAATAGAATTTGTCACTCTCCAGTGACGTCAGGTTATGGGCACTTTACAACACATTAGTAATGAACAAATAGCAAATGAAAATCGTCTATATATGTCAAAAGAAATCTATTTCATATCATCAATTTGAATCTTGTAAAAAAAGATGAGTATCGATGGTAAATGTAAATTCATTTATATAGATATTTTTTCTATTTTTAGCTAAACTAGCACATTTGGCCCCTTTTACCACCTGACATTTGCTCTTGATGAACATGTAAATACCATTGTATGAAATGTTTCCTACTATTTGCTGTTGGTTAATAAATCAAATCAAATCAAATTAAATCCACTAAAAACTGAGCAGCATAACTTGGTTCAGTATGAATTCAGACAAATGAAAAATCCATTACCTTGACTTCCTGAAGACATGTGACCTACTCTAGCATCTTCAATCTGAACTTGGTTTGATGCAGCATGACCTTTGACCTTGTCCCCACTATGACTGACACCACTTCCTGCTACAGTGAGATCAATGTTTGTAGGTACAGGTGTGCAGCGAGGTGATCCCAAAGGTGATCCAAGAGGTGATCTCTTACTCTGTCATCCAAATTATAAAATCAATTCAAGATAATCCCTGTTTCTTCTATCATATTATGTGGGATATATAATAATCAAGTCTGTTTATATGTATATGCATTGTTTTTTATGATGCAGGGCCCTCAGAGGCAACCAAGCTTAAACAAAAAAATAATCAATTTGCATGTCAAGGTTACATCGTACATGGATTGTGGGGAAAATAGATTTTTTTCTTGATTAAATCCTTATACTTCTAAAGTACAATTTGAGACATTCTAAACAATTTTTTTTTATTGGCCAACGATCGAGAAATAAGAGCTTGGAAAATACAGGCATATCATATTATTTTCTTATTTTTACACCTGTGAAAATTTTTTAAATAATGATAACACACTGCATGTATGAATGTTATCACTTTGTGGTATCGTTTATCTTTCAATATCAACTGAGTATGAGACGGAAGGATATGAGATGAGAGTGAATGACTTACTCTGGTTTCTGTCAATATAATAGATTCAGTCAAACTCGGTACACTCCTTCCACTTAGTGAACGTCCACTGAATAATCATAAAGTAATGAGAAATATACAATGTTACATCTATTGCTGATTAATAGAGCAGTCAATCATTATCATGACACTTTATACATGTATCTCAGCAGCTGCCTTTATCAATCTTTATACATGTATCTCTGGAGTTGCCTTTATCAATCTTTTATTAGAAAATCAAAATTCACCATCCAACAGGAAATTATTCAAAATACTGCCTACTTTGCAACCAAATCATGAAAATCAGTCCTTTTAATTCCTTATTCCCTGCTCATCTACAACATATTTGCTAATCCATTTTTTTATTTGTACATAACATGCCCCACATGTAGCATCTGAACACATTCCATCCATTACATGAATATCTCTTTCCACTAGTTGTTCTAAATTAGATAGAAAGAGAGTGAGACAGCGGGATCTAGAATATAATAACATATACCCTGTAGGCTGGAGGAGACATAAAGGTACATCTTACCTGTTAACTCTGCTGTTGTTTCTAACCCTGGAGAATTCTCTGAGTCTTTGTAACTCTGAATCATTCACCTCATACCTTCCCTGCACTGGAGACCCTGATCCACATAAATAGTACATTCTGTCCACTCGATGAGACAGGATCTATTGATTCACAAAAACAAATATACAAACAAACAACAACAATTAGTGAATTATTTCAATCTTTGGTGATAATATAATGTGTTATCTGAGCAGTCTGTCTGCTAGCTCATAAGTGACATATCTCTACCGAACCACTAAAACCTGAATGCTTAAAATTCCAGATCAAGTCAGCACCATATAAAAAACTTGAAGCTGAAAAGAGATGTAGATGTAGAGGGTAACCCAACATTTGTTATAGGTTTACTTTTATGGAAGCATAAAAAGAAGAAAATCAAAGTTATCTAGCGTTATACTTCACTGTGAAATTACTGATTCAGCCACAAAAAAATTCTTCTAGGTATGGATATTACAACTTCAAAAAATTGATAACTTTATAACTTTTAATGTGATTTGTCTACTCCTCTGATTTCTTGGATTCCTTAAAGTCCAGCTGCTATCAAGATAAGTGTTCTCCTACAGTTCACTTTATACACCTCACTCCCAGATCCTAATCAAATGATTGGTCATGCGCGATCATGTGTGATTCATTTACTGAGCCTATTGCGTTGCATGCTTTTTCAGTGCGCAGTAGTACATGTAGAGATTAGAGCGCTTAATACTGCGTGTGCATGGGCCTATTCTTGCGCAGCATTATGCGTACATGGGTATAGAGGTAAGTGCGCTTACTATATCTATGTGTGCGCACTAAATTAAGCCTTATTAAACTTGAGATTTATTTGTCAGCCTAGCCACACTGTCACAAAACAATCTTGAATGAATTCTTTTACATCTAATGACAAGGATCTAAGAGTTTCGTTGTATAAAACAAATGATGCATGTTTTCATTTGTTCATTGTACGATCTATTCACCCTTGTTGATGCTGTATGTATCTATCGCGCTCAGCCTCAACAGCCTCAACTCGAGTGCGGATAGATCATATAATGAACTCATGCGCATGCATCATTTGTATTCTAGTTACCTCAGACTTTCGTTTCATAGTACGTGTGATGTACAGGTTAGTCTGCTCCTCTTCAAACCTATGAACCTGCTCTCTTTTGGGCAATGAGGGTGCATCATACTGTGGATAGGACTTGTGTACAGAGCTGAAAAGTGGATGGTAAAAAACAAAATCATATTTATGATCACTTGTTGTAAAAGAGTAATCACACTTAATACCAGAGTTTTGAGAACTGCCATGATCATTATCACTTACTGATAACTGAAAATATTTAAGCATTTCAAAAATAGTTAAAGATAAACTTTATAGTACATGGTAATGCAATATTGCATTGTGAAAGAAAAGGTGTGGAAAGGATCAGAAACAGTTGATCATGTAGCATGTAAGTATTGGTGTGCACTGCAAGGTTCTGGAGTCATTAAAATCATAATAAATTTGACCGAGTCTTGGTAAAGTAACAAGCACTGTACACAGAAAGCTATATGGGCAACACACATGGTGTCGGGGCTAGTACTACCTTGATTTCCTTGTCTTTCTATGCTCATTACTCAGCCAGTATACATTTTCTTCCAAAATTGTTTGGCACATGTCATTTATTTGTAATCTTGAACATTCAGTGTAAGTTTTGTTTGATTCTATGAGAAGTCATTTTCTTTCTTTACCAGAACTGGAGTTTATCTGTAAGTACTTGCAATGGCGCTTTAGGTGGCAAAGCATATATTTGAAACTGTTCTTTTTTTCAAGTCTCTACATCTGCATCCATCTTTTGGTACAAGATCTTCAAATCTGTCCTTTTTCATCCTTCAATATATACAGGGTGTCTCAAAACCTAATCAAAGAAATTTTGAGTGGCAGCATCTCAAAGAGTATGTGTACTCAACTATACTCCTTGAAATTCTGTATGTAAGTAATTGAAGAGGTATTCCCTAAATTATTTGTAAATTTCACAAGGAAACATGCTAAAACTACAATTTTATGATTGTTTTTGTAAATGTTGCACCATTTTCCAAATGGTACAAAGAGACTGCGTTGAGTTGCATTAGTACACAATATAAACCTGAGGCATTATAATACTGATTTTAGCCATTGTTTTTTTTGTTTTGCTATGACTTAAAAATGAGAGAGATGAAGTGCCCACCTTTGACTGTCTTGCTGTCCAGACTTTGAAGTGCCTAAATAGCGATCACCACTCATGGAGACATTCTTTACACCTCTTGGAGAACTTGAACGCAGAAGTGGATTACTTTTGACTTGTGGAAGGGGTACTTGCTTCAACCTGCTGTTTGAACTGGTTAAATAAACAAAAGAGCTAATTTATTTCTATCCACAATGTGGAAGTTACAATGAACATAACTATGAATCCATTCTGATTCATGCACTTTTTCCTAAATGATTTGGATAAAGTTTGGTTTGCTCATTGAATTTGATGAGATGAATTCGAATTGGCATGGTACCTAATATTTGGTAAAAAGGGAGGCTTAAAATCACACTTAACTTGTTTGCTGGTAATTATGTAGGAAATAGTCACCTCATCAAGACCATACCATTTGATGCCTTAAAGTTACTTAATGCCAATCTAACTGTTTCTGTTGTTCTAGCCCCAGGCCCTTCCCCAAAAGACACATTTAGATTGATTTCAATTTCACCCCATCTACATAAAGTTTGTGCATCATACTTTGCCAAAACACAATATGGCTGCAAATTACAAAAGATAAACACAGAAAATGACAACATTTTACATTGGGATATCAAGAGAATATCATGGAAAGATTTGAAAACTAACAGAGAAATATACAGTGTATTACATATGGCAGGGCTTTAAAAAAATGTCCTTATAGGAATATTTTTTTAAAAGAGCAAAATATATTTTGGTCCTATTTAAAGACATCAGAACCTCTTGAAAGATTTGTTCGAAAAAAAGTAGAAAGTACTAGACCAAAAGGAAAGCCAAGAACCAACTAGGAGGAAAACATTAAGACATGGAGGGGAATGGCACTGCAAGAGTGTGTACATAGGGTGTTGGAGAATGGAGATGTGTGGATGCAATCAACCTCTGAGCAGGGTGAGGAAACCAGGATAGATACCATAGTTACATTTGGAAAGGGTCCTAAAAATCCTCAATATTTCCCCTCCTACCGTACCATGAACCAAACTATGTAAAAAGAATGAAGTATAGCTAAACATTATAAAAATCTTATTGTCTTTTTTATCATAACATTTTCTGTGGCCCCCCCCCCCCCCATGGCAATAATAATGCTATTTTCCTGAAGAACACAATAAAGGGCAAGTCAAACCCATTTGCAAGTTAACTTGAATGAATAGTGAAAGTTAAACCAAACTTGGACGAAAAGGAGAAAGTTTCACATAATTTCACCACTATCACACAGTGATATGTATCACATAGGCTGTTTGCAAATTAGTGAGTTGATGATGTCATCCTAAAATTGTAGCCATCTGTCAAGTTTTGACAAAAATATACTAATTTTTCAGAAAATTGCAGAAACATTCTTAATTTTCCCATTTATATTTCGTACATGCGGCGCTGCTTCCGGCACCACCCCAGGTCTTCCAACTTGAGAATGCTGTAACTCCAATTGTATACAGCCTTTAATTACTAATGAAACTTTGCAGGCATATAGTATTGTAAGCTTCAAAATTATACCAAATTTGTTTAGATATAGTTTTTTTTTTAAATCAGGAATTACTTCAGCATGAAACCATTAAGTGAAACAGCATCAACCATTTTGTACATTGAAGTCAGAAACTAAGACTGGTAGAAACACAATCCCTGTAATAAATGACACATGCTATACCACCATGAACAAAATAAAGACAAAGATTCCAACAGTAGCTGGGCTGGGAGGGGAAGCTCGAGTGAATTCAATCGATCTCGGGGCAAAAGGGACGGAAGGGAAAGAATTTTGACTGAAATCTTGTTAAAACTGTACAAATTTAAACGTTAGCAGTGTCCTCATATTCAAATTATGCAAGGAAACCCGTTTACTTATTAGATTTCACTGTCAGACACTATTGAGTGACTGACTGGCTTTTTTTCTTCTTTGGTAATAACATACATGAAAAGAGTTGTAAAGGGTACATGAGCATTTGTCTACATCAATAACCCACTTCTTGTGATGGCCAAGATTAAACTGAATATTTGCGCAGCATAAAACGTATGACCATTCGGTACAATTGTCTGAAAATCAAGACTATTACTTTTGGGCTCTATAGCCCTAAAGTCGATTTGACAACTAATAGTCGTTATTTTACCACTTAAAGACATTTTCAAGCCCCATTATTTTAAGGGGAGTTCTAAATTAGTATTATCTTTCAAATGCCATTGGAATTTAACTTTTTCATTTTTTTGGCCTGCAAAAGGGACATAGTCCCTTTAATAGTTTGGTAATGCATACTTAATTCACCAACCCAAAATTGTGGCAATGAAGAACCATGCAAATATCAAAGAATGTTTAATTTGTTTATCTTAGCAATTCTTCTCATAAGTGCATGATTGTTATTTCACTTTCAGTCTATATACATGTACATGTAGAAGTATTTTACAAGTAGTTGCGAAGAGGTAATAACAGTATTCACATAAGCTTAAGTTTAACTTATAAAATAGACTATTCAAAATGGTTCAAACTGTATACATGATTAAACAGCAACAATTGTGCAACACAAGGCAACAACAAAATCTGTAACGTGCACACAGAGGCAGTGAAAATAGGATTTACATCAAATGCAAACTGATATCCGACTTACTGAAATGTCCATGGAACACAAAATGAGCAGCTAAAATTTGAGAAATTACAATGTTGAGTGATGTCTATTAATGAAGTTTACAAGTTGATTTATAAATTCACATGATACTTGAACAGTTGTTATGACAAACATACATATATATGAGTAATAATATTATTTTTCAGTATAGCATGCATTAATATCATAATTATGTTTTACCATCTCTATGCATTTCTAAAGAGCATTGTAAATTAATACCCACAGCAACTGTACCAGCACACATGCAGGCTATTTCAATATTTCAGCATATGAGTTTAGATACATGTACTCAATGACTACCTGGATCAAAGGTGAGAAATACAGATTAACCCTATATAGAACCCACTTACTTGAAGGAATTAGGAGTTGCTGATCTTTGAAGGTTTGATACATCCGCTTTGTTTGACTAAAAAGAGAAAAGAAACATACAATATTCTAGGATCATATTTGCAGGTAATTCAATAGAAAGATTAGAATATCACATACTTATTTATAAAACCCCTTTGTATAATATAAAATACTCAGAGAAACAGCTTGATTAGTCATGTATACATTGGCATAACATTGCAAACAGTAAAGTCCTATATTGGAAGACGATGTACTTTGTAAGCTCCCTAACTGAGCAGTAGCATTTATCTAAAATGTTTTCTTGACTTTGTTGAGCACTATATCAACATAACAGTATTGGTAATAATGGGGCGTAACAGTTTCCAAGTCACACTGATTGAAATCGCCTGATATGAAATGGGAGCATCGGCGAACCTTATTCAGAGTTCATTCACTTGTTCCTGTATTATTTGCTTGGCATTTTCTTTAACTGAGCTCGGTGGTATATAAACTAAAAGTACATTGACTTGGGCAAATTCTCTTGGCAGATAAAAGGGGGGAGATGAAACACACATCAGTTTGATATCTTTGGACAAAATATTCTTTCTGCTCTACCAAGATTTATCTTAAAGATAATACAAAGTTTTGGGAAATTTTGAAAATTGGGTGGATAGTCATTCTATACAATTTTGATATATTTGGATGCCCCTTTGGATGCATTATAAGCACTAGAAAATTTAGCCCCTAAAACACTTCTGCTTTCGAGATAACTTGAATATAAAAATTTACTGGTGCTGCCGGAAAATTTTGATGAATTTCAAAAAGCGCCTACAGCCGTACAAATGGTAGCTGTGACCATGAAAATCTCAGAATATGTAGTTGTGATATATAATTTCCAAACGGGAATAGCTAATCGGTCGATTTTAGTCGAGAAACATTGTTTTATGGCTTAATTAATATCTTGACCTTGAGATGGAGCTATACAACATGATGAGTTTATTATGTTATTTTCATAACTTTAGACTCGATCTCAACCGCGACAACGATTGCTGAATATTAGATCGCATATACTTCCAATATGTTCATTTAAACAAATTTGACTTCATACCAAAACTTTGTAATACCGTTAAGCAGTACAATATTAGAAAAACTATTACATGTAGAGTATATCATACAAACGTTACTGTTCAAGTGGAAGTCAACTCTCACAATCATATCAGGTTGGTTTTGATGAGGGAAACACTTCTGTGAAAGTTTAAGCACATTCTCATAAAGACCAAGAGAGTTCCATTAACTATTTAATCAAGGAAACACAAATTGGCAACTCTGTGATGTGTTTTTTAAAATCCTTTCCTGTGTACAAGAAATTTCATAAGATTCCATTTTCTTAGTTGTTTGATACTGGGGTAGCGTTCCGTTACTGCTGCAGTTCTCACCTTGAAACATCCTGTACGAACACATAGATAAGGCATTTAGGCAAGGTGTTATACCAGAGCAACTTTCATTGACTTCTCATCGGCATTTAATACTATAGAACCTCTTATCCTACTACAGAAACTTCAACATCTACAAGCAAGACTTGCTCCATGAAAGTTAGACACAGAAGGTCCAGGTCAACAGTGTTCTCTACAACAAACTTATCACAACCATTAGTACCCCACAAGGGTGTGTCCTCTCTGCCACTCTATTTACCCTGTACACCAATGACTGTATGTCAAATACTCTATTTGTTCACATACCTAAATATGCAGATGATACAGGAATACTTATAGTAGGATTGATTGAAAATGAAAATGAATTTGATTACAGAGCTACCATTTCCATGTTCGAAAATTTGTTTAGGGAAAACCATTTACTGCTGAACTCAAAGTAAAACAACAGAAATTGCTTTGAACCCATCTTTAGACCTGTACATGATACCAATGAGAATATTGAAAGTTATAGATACAGGTCTAGGCACAGAAATCGATCATTAGCTGTCTTGGGAGGACAAGTCAAAGTACACCCTAACAAGATGCGACCAGCGTATGTATTTTCTTAGAAAGTTAAAGTACTTTCATGTGAACAATAGAATTCTGTTTCTCTTTTATCCGTCATTCATCCAGAGTACTATCACATTTGATTACATTATCTGGTTTAATAATGCAAAGCAAAGAGACAAACAAAACCTGAGAAGGGTTGTACAATTAACAAGCCAGCAAATAATGAACCATACCGTTGACCTAGATGAAGTCTGTAAGGAAAGAGTAGTTTCTACTAAAACCCTATCCATTATGTCTGATCTAACCCACCCCCTTAATGACCAGTACATAGTGTACACCTGAGAAGCGGACAAAGATTGAGATCTGTAAAAGCAAGAACTAGTCAATGCATTAATGCATTCATTCCACTTTCCATAAGATTTGTTAATGAAATCCAGCAGAGAGAAGAGTTCTAAACGAACACAAGAATGCATGGTAGAGAACGTGAAAACTATGCAAAATAGACATGTTACACAAAAGTGTAGTACAAGTACAGTGTATATTAGTGTTTACAGGTTCTTGAGACTAAATCAGAAACAAAGTTGAACAAAAATCAGACATACATGAAGTATGTGTTTATTGTGAGGAGAAAAAAAAAATTCACAATTATTTAATCAAGTAATCATGATTGTCAATTATATGTTGTACTTCTGAAATTACTGTAAAGCAAGATTGTGAATGTAAATAGGAACAATTATCCTCTATGGACATAATAAATAAATGAAATGAAATACATGCAGATCTATTTACCATTGAAAGGTTCAATCTGCGAAGGTATACTGCTCTGGAGACAGCATTATAAGATGGTGTTTCAATTGCACTATGAGTGCTTTTAGCAGACTGTGCTCTGTGTTGAGAATGATAAAGCTCTGCTGATTTTGCTCTCCTACTCTGTGGCATAGCAGGAAGTGAGTACCCTGCTCCTCTATCAGACATCCTGAAAGTCAGTCCTCACAAATCCTCTTTTATATTACACTGTTTGTACGATATTATTTTAATTTCCACTGTTCCATCGATGCTTGTTTATAATTTAGTTTACATTGCATTGGTGTTTCAGGTTATCAACAATGTTAATAAAGTTTCCAGCAAAGATAGAAAGTGCACATTAGACTTTGAGAGGTGAAGTAAATATATACAGCTGAAAGTTTAGTGGAGTTTAGACCTAGCTGCATCTGCTCTCCTTAGCAGAGTAGTCCATCGTGAAAAAAATTATTGTACATGAGCACTTGCATCCATATAATCCAATTGGCCTTCACTTCATTACTGAAGTACCCAACTATCCATCAATCAATACTAAACTGTAGTTATAATCCTTGTTCTTCAGCACCAGCATAAGGATTATAAAGGCCACTCTGGAAATGTTGATGAAATAATAATCCTATAAAAACAAGGTTTCTTTCACCCAAAGGATTATCCCGTCATGACAAGTCTATGAGCAGCTCATCTGCCTATATATCAAACACTATTGTGAGTCCTGTGCAGCCAGCCAAACAGTCAAAAGAAATGCGACACAAGCATAGACAGTAGACACAATAGACGGCTTAAGCCAAACCATAGTAACCATGTTTGAGTCCATTGAAAGCCCTGCACTTACACTATGCAAACAACTGATCCCTTTCTCTCTGCTACACTCTCCATCTTGAGATGTGAGGATTGCAGTCTCATCTTGTCAATAATGCATCAAATGGGCCCTTTTATCTGATGTACTCAAGACATAAATCTTTTATTCTTTTCTTGCACCCAATAATACAAATCTCTTGATATCACCACCACAGCCTTATAGTGTACCAATCAACAAGAAATATTTTGCTCTGTATGTTTAGGTTCCAGGTAGCTATATACTACAATCAAAGTATGAGCTTAAAACATTACTTCTTTTGAGAGATAACAAAAATTACACTCTTACTAGACACAAAAGCCAATAGTGAGTATACTAGTCGAAGAACTTGTACATGCTAATAGTAGAATGCTCTAAACCCATGTTAAGACAGGACATTGCTATATGATTGATGATTAATTTCTCATTCTATCAAGAGCATGCATTTAACAAGACTACAAAATTAAATTCCAAAACAATGATTCCAAGTGTTTGAAGCAAAGTGATAGATAAGACCTTTGACCATGATAGGATTCAACAGTACTCTGTAATGGAGCAATTTAAACTGTTTTATTTTCTATTCATTGCAATAGTCAATTATGTACATGTACTATCAATTACTATCAATTACATATATTATAAATGAACTAACTGATTTTTTTTTTAAATTAAAGACTTGTGCGATTATTTGTTTGCATAGCTTGTGTCATGAGAATGTTTGTAGTAACTGTAAAGTAACCTATCGATGAAAGGAAGAAGACAACAACTTTGGTATGAACATGAGATTCAATATTGTCTTAAATTGAGATAATCAAATCAAGAATAGTTTCCACAATGACTAGGCCTACAGCAGTGGGTAAGGAAAGATCAAGATGGCTCAATTATATCAAAATGGCTAAAGCGTTTGCAGGGCCCTCAGGGAGATCTGAACACTGATGGGATTACCCGCTGTAAACAAGACATACCGTAAATCGGCCGTGTATAAGGCACACTTTTTTGCGCTATGCCTGGCAATGTCTCCTAGCTCAGTAATCAGTGTGGTGACTCACCACTCGGAAACTACAACAACACTCAAATTTGTCTGTCATCTTGGTTTGAAAGTAATCTTTTTAATAGATCTCAATATGTAGTTTATAATAATAATTCCTCAATTTTTTTTTCTATAACAAATGGTGTACCACAAGGTTCTATCCTAGGTACTCCATTGTCAGAAATTTAGAGGATGCTATTCATATCATGCATGACTATTGATGTTTGGCATAGAACACAGTGCTTCTGCTAGGTGATGTGAGGAGGCTGGTGTGGGACACTTGGTATCATGAAGCCTTAGACTGTTGTTACTATTATTTTTGACAAGTTCACAACTTCAACTGCACCTCGATGTAAAATGAAGGTCCTTCCCCGCGTGTGTTTTCGGCAACAAAACAACAACAACAACAAAACAAAAAACGATTTTTTTTTTTTTTTTTTTTTTTTTTTTTTTTTTTTTTTTTTTTTTTTTTTTTTCCCCCCCCAAAAAAATAGGAGTGCGCCTTATACACATGTGCGCCTTTTACACGGAGATTTACGGTATTATTTTCTTCTAATTATTATCAATTTACCCAATGGATTATACAAGGAATACAGTAAATGATTTCAGGGTTAGACAAACAAAATCATGATTTTCAAACAATCCAAAAATTAAGATTTTGTCAATTATCTTCGGTTTTTTTTATCAGTACAATTATACAAAAATAGGCAGTAAATTTTGTTATAACATGTAAATGATTTTAGATTTAAAAAATGAAAAGAATTACAATTTTGTGATCTCAATGCACTTGAAAAAAAAACTTGAAAAAAAAACTAGAAATGTTCATACTTTGTCAATGGTTTGATAATTCTGAATGTTAGTATTTCTGAAAATGAAATAAGTTTAATAATTATTTTTAAAAATTATTATTTAAAAAAAAAAGAAAACCTGGAGACTTTTTACAAATTACGAGTCTTCAGAATTTATAACAAATGCATTTAAGTTTAACCTAATTTCATTTTCGGAAATAAGAAACTTCCACTAAATGAGCCCTATTCCACTTTCAGAATTACATACCTTAAAGATATTATGTTCCTTTTGCAGCCAACATCAAATTCTGTAGAACTTTGCAGGAATTATGAATAAACAGAATATGTCAATCATGTACAGTTGTATGTCCCATCTGTGAAATTTAAACATTAGCAGTGTCCTACATGTAGTATTCATATTATGCAAGGAAACCATTTAGACTTCACTGTCTGATATATTTTTTCTTTGGTAAAAACATACTGGTACATAAATAAGCTGTAACAGGTAAATGAGCATTTGTCTACATCAATAACCCACTACTTGTATATTGTAAGGGCCACAATTAAACTGATTGAATCTTTGTGCAGCACAAAACGTACAACCATAAGGTAAAAGGGTCTGAAACTCAGACTATTACTTTGTGATTGCAATCACTTTAAAGTCGGTTTGACAACTAATGGTAGTAATTTTCCCACTAAAAGCCATTTTCAAGCCCTTTCATTTAGAGGGAAGTTCTAAATTAACTAGTATTGTCTTTCAAATGCCATTGAAATTTAACCTTGTCAATTGCAACTTTATAAATTCATAGCTTTCTTAGTTTAAATCACCACTGCACTACTACTTGCGCCCCTCTATATATAGCAAACAATGCCTAAACGGCAACCATTGGTCCCCCATGGTCCCCTTTTTCTTATGTTAATTCAGAGCTGATTTGATAAGATAACTATCTGTCAGTGACCAGCAGGGAGGTCTAATGATCCTCCTGGCCAAACTAGTGCAGATGGGCTTTAATGGTATCATAACCACTCGTAAGTCAGCAGCATGGAGAGCGTGTAGCAAGCTTGGAAGAATCTGGAAATCTTCTCTTCCTAGGCAGTTCAAACAACGTTTGTTTGTTGCTACAGTTGAATCTGTGCTTCTATACGGCTGCGAAGCATGGGCAGTTACAACAAAGCTGGCAAAAGAATTAGATGGTTGCTACACCAGACTTCTTAGGACAGCATTCAACGTGCACTGGAACCAGCATATGACCAATAAAGAGCTGTACGGGAAGGATCTACCAAAAGTATCAGAAAAGATCAAAAAAAGAAGACTACGTTTTGCAGGACACAGCTGTAGGAACATCAAAGAACCAATATCTCAGCTTATACTCTGGAAGCCTAAACACGGGAAGAGGAAACCTGGAAGACCTCATCTTACTTATACAGACCTACTCAAGAAGGATACGGGACTTGAACTGTCAGAGATAAAAGCAGCCATGCTGGACAGGAATGTGTGGATGGCCATCACAGCTCGGGCAGTTGACCCGACTTAAGCAAGTAAGCATAACCACTCTCATGTGGGATACTTACTTTCTTAAAATGTGATTACATTACTTGTTCTGCTTGTAACACACTTCATATTAGGATAATCATGTATGTGCATGATCACCATTAGGCCTAAAATAAAAAAACTTGTTGCATTGCCCTTTAGGTGCCAAAACATGGGTCGGTGGGTCGGAAAAGATTTTTTTTTTTTTAAACTTTTTTTTTTATGTCGCCCTCTTTTGGCCGATATTTTTCAGTTTTAAATGTTTTTTGTTTTTTTCCCGCCCTCTTTTGGCTGATATTTCTCAGTTTGTATTGCTTTAATACATGTGTTTTGAGTCACCATTTCATTCATATCTTTTTCACCTCATAATAATCCATGGTTTGCAATGTTGTGTTGAGACAACACTCTGTGCTTTCCTGCTGACGAAGTTGGTTTTTATTTACCTGTAAAACCTGCCAGCAATGTGAAGATTGTTTGGAATAATTTGATTTTATGCATTTATATCAAAGTCAAACAAAATACATATTTTTGTATTCATTAATACAATAAATTCTAAAAAACGGTTGAAAAAAAAAACTTTTTTAAAATGCCGACCGTAGATTTTCAGATTTTTGGGTCGGTCGCAAAGGGCAATGCAACAAGTTTTTATTTTAGGCCTTATTGAAAACTGTCCATTTTTCTGATGCTATGGGGTAGGACGTTTCATTTCCCTTATGGCCCTTGTCCAAGCCTGTTGATCTTCGGCATCAGCCTGGTTGAGGTCAGATGTTTTCATATCTTCTTCTTGTGTCTCCTTCCATGTTTTACAATGTCTACCATGGGGTTTTGAGCCTGCAACCTGGAAGTTCATTGCTGCCTCTCTGAAGCCAATGCCTTTTTTTTCCTGACCACATACCCATACAATCTCAGTCAACCCATCTTATTTAAGTCAGCTGTAAGGCTTTGAGGAGTCTATTTTGTAGAGTCAAAATCATCTTAGCCCTTTCAACATCTTGTACACTTGATGGCTTCATGCGAATCTGTGTTGTATACCATGCACTCCCTTACACAGGCATCATACAGTTTCCCTTTCACTTTTAGGGGAGCTACTCTTGAGGTGAGAGAGGGTGATAGTGCATATCAAATCCATGATGTAACTGCTGCTGTTTACCCTCCCCTGGCACTTGTTGCTAAGGGTAGCATGTTGCTGAGGTAACACAACCTCTTCACATTTTCACATTGCTTTCCATGGAGCTCCAGCCAACGATAATTTCAATAACAAAACTCCATTTTATATATTCTACAAATCGCATTAAAAAATAAGGTATTATGTGAGCGAGTATCCTATAGGCTGAACAATTTGTTATACATGCAAACTTGCACGAGTGTGCAATATAACAACTTTTTTGCAAGGTATAAATGTGTACAAAAGTGATAAGACTTGCACACCTCTCTTACCTGCGTGTATTAATTGTTTGTATTTTCATAGCTGCGTGCACCTGATATGAAACCTGAATGTAATTGGAAAAACCCTACTCCAAAGGAAAGAGATGGCAAATACTTTAAATTACATACCAGTATAAATTTATATTACATAGGCCTTCATTTCGTTCTTCTATGACATACATTCATCTCTTAATTCAGAATTGTCCATGTGTCATTATATTTCAACCTCAGCCCACTACACAGCCTCTGTGAAAGATAACATCACTCAGGAAGTTCTGAATTTGTTGGTTCGTACATTTTGTTAAATTGAATGCTGGAGCTTGATATGATATATATTGGCGCTTGTTCAGAAGCCTATCCAATTTGACCCGTAACTCCGGCCTGGAGATACCCCACTAAAACATACCCAAAATTAAGTAAATAGTCATCAAATGTTTAAATAAAGAGCATGAGTTAAAAGTTATTACTTTTATTACCTGTTTTGTGTCAATTTTCTTCTTATCTTTGGAGTATTTTTCGGAAAAAAGTTGATGTTAGAATACAATTTTTCACAGGTTTCAAGGCAAACCGCTGCATAATATGAGTGCATACCGATGGTGGGTTGCGGTCCTCATGACGGTAGATAACTTCACACAGGCGCGCATCCGCCCGCAACCCACCATCGGTATGGACTTGTATTGTGCAGCGGTTTGCCATGAAACCTGTGAAAAGTGTATACTACCGGTAATATCAACGTTTTTCTGAAAAATGCTCCAAAGATAACAAGAAAATTGACACGAAACATAAAATAAAAGTACCTAACAACTTTTATCTCATGATCTTTATTCAAACATATGATGAATATTTACTTCATTTCGGGTATGTTTTAGTATCTCCACGCCGGAGTTACAGGTCAAATTTTGGATAGGTTTCTGAACAAGCGCCGATATATTTGTATAGTAATTTAACATCCCTTCTGATATACACTGTACATGTATGCTATGCACTTTCATTGCTATGAAACAAGTAATGATCTCACCATTGGTCTAGGTTCCACAGCACTGCGAGTCATCCTACTAGCGAGTTGAATCTTAGGGAGTGTTGTCTCTGGTAGAGTAGCTGCATACATACTGTTGAGTGAAGGTGCCTTGGGCCTCTCTGTAGGTAGGGGTACATAATCAATTACTAATACTTTTATTAGTGTAAAATGGTGCACACAAAGAGTATCACTAAATGCAGCAAACTCCATCGCACGCTGAAGTATACTAAGCTAAGACTTT